TATTTACCAAGACATAATGTATATGCTATAACCTCAAAAACACTGATTTTTTTTTTTTAAAGCAGGGAAGGCTAATGAAGTGGAGAGACATAGTTGGTTAGAAGATTCAACATAGTAAACATGACAAATAAACCAACTTTGATTTATACATTTAATGCAATTTCAATAAAACTCCCAGAGGAGTTTCTGTGGATATAGACAAGCTCATACTAAAATCTACATGGAAAAGCAAAGGAAATAGATCAGACAAAACTATTTAGAAAAAGAAAAATAAAGCTGGCAGACTCTGACTACTTATTGTATGACTAATATTGCAATATGACAATAATCGCTATATGGTACTTGTGGGCCAAGATGGCCTGGGGCAGACATGTTATTTCTTTTTTTGTTGTTGTTGTTGTCCCAGGTTTATTGAAAATAATACAGCATTGATTCAAACAGGGCCCCGAGGCGTTTTGAAATTCATCCCAGCTGTAGGCTGAGTGACCTGCAGGTTGGATAGACTGCCAAAATCCAAAAGCTTCAGCATTTCCTTAGTGTCAGGATCTACTTCAATGATCTCCTGATCCAGGGCTGAGACCTCAGGAACATAATTGTCTCTCCTTTCTCTCTCCTCCTCCTGCAGCTTGATGGAGATACCTCTTACTGGGCCTCTCTGAATCCGCTTCATCAGATGCGTGACATAGCCTGCTATCTTGTTGCGGAGCTTCTTGCTAGGGATAATGGCGATCTCGCACACGCGCTTGTTCGTGTGGAAGTCGTTGCCCAGGCGCGTGTAGTACTTTTCTATGATGACCCGGGCCGCCTTCTTCACGGTTTTGGTGCGAACGCGGCCCATGTCGGCGGGTCCTCAGTCCAGACATGTTATTTCTAGTTAAATGATTACAAGCTTGCTTTGCTTTTTATACACTGAGATTCGTGCCGTGGATCAAATATTGAATTTAGAAAACTCCAAACTATGGTGCAGTAAAAGAAAAACTGTTTAAGGTCTGTAAAAGCAGAGATTAAGTGGTAACAGGCCTACAGTGACGACCATCTGAGAGCGCTTTAAAACCGCGGAACGCTGCGGTGCGGTCACAAGGCAGGAAAGACTGCTTTGGTCCCACAGTCTCTTCCCAACATAGGGTCTGCATGAGGGTCTCCTAAAGAGGGCTTGTGCAAGAACTCTGGGAAGGAATGCCACCTCTGCTCACAAGACTTCTTGTGGGGTCTTTGCAGATGGGAGCGGCCTTGCGGGGCAGAGATAACTTCAACCAAGGTTCTCAGAATATGGAGTAACTCTGATTGCTCTGTGTCCGCAATGCTCGCAATGCTCAGCAGATCAAAGCCCCTTGATGCATTGTGTGCGGTCAGACCTAGTGGTACCTTAACCACTGTGCTTCTACGCAGTTGTACCTTGATGACAACTGGTGATAAAGTTCAGTGTCCTAGCTTAGCATTTCTTAGAAGAACCACGTGTGCGATTGAATGCTGCAGACAAACAGCTCCCCTCCCCGAAACTCCCCCCAACTTACCCCACAATAACTCAGAGCCAACGTAGTCCCCATGCTTGCATTGGTCTCCTGGACTCATATTTTGAAACTTGACTCTTGTCTTTGTCTTTCTTTCTTTTCTGACTCCCACGTCACTGCCGGGACTAAGGACACCCACGTACAGGGTTGGGGCTGTCACCCAACAGTATTATTAGAGAAGTGATAAGATACACACATCAACAGAATAGAGTCAAGAAATGGACACAAGAACAGACAAATGATTTTTACAAATGTTCAAAATTAATTTAATGGAAAGCAGACAGTGTTTTCAATACTGTTGAATCAAGTAGGCAAGCACAGGCTGAACTTTAACCCTTATCCTATATACACAGATGAATTTAAATGGATCATATTGCTAAATATTGAAAGCAAAACTACATTATTTTGTAAAAAGACAGAAAAAATCATCAATTACAGTAAGGAAGGAATACTTAGATGTAACGCCAAAATCACAATCCATAAAAGAAAAAAAAACTTGCAAATTGGACTTCATCATAATTAAATTATTTTTCTCTGAGAAAAACCAAAAGAGCCACATCTAGAGAAAAATATTTGCAAGTGACATAAAACCATTACCAGCTGTATAAAACCTTTATCCAGCTTTAATAAACAACTCTCTAAGCAGGGCACAGTGGCATGTGCCTGCAGTCCCAGCTACTCTAGAGGCTGGGACAGGAAAACTTGTTCGAGGGTTTTCGAAGGCCAGAGTTCAAGACTGTAGTGTGCTATATTGGTGCCTGTGAATAGCCACTGCACTCCAGCCTGAACCATACAATGAGACCTCATCTTTCTAAATAAATAAATAAATAAATAAAGCCTTTAAGGAACTGCAAACCAAGGCAACATACAATTGGTATGTGTGTATCCATGCCAAAGCACACATAACAGAATAGGTAAAATAAAACATACTGACAGCAGCAAGTGGAAGAAAGGAGAGCCACTGAACCTCTCATATATTGCTGGTAAGTAATGAAACACCACTCTGGAAATACTTGGTTAGTATCTTACAAAGGTAAACATACACTTACCTTATGACCCATGAATCACAGTCTTCAGTTATTCTAGAGAAATGAAAAATTGTGCTCACACAAAGCCTTTGTACACAAATGTTCATAGGATTTTCATTTGTAACAGAAAGGCTGGACATGATGGCTCATGCCTATAACCCTAGCACTTTGGGAGGCAGAGGCAGGTGGATCATCTGAGGTCAGGAGTTCAAGACCAGCCTGGCCAACATGGTGAAACCCCATCTTTACTAGAAATACAAAAAAGGGCCGGGCGCGGTGGCTCAAGCCTGTAATCCCAGCACTTTGGGAGGCCCAGGCGGGTGGATCACGAGGTCAAGAGATCGAGACCAGCCTGGTCAACATGGTGAAACCCCATCTCTACTAAAAATACAAAAAATTAGCTGGGCATGGTGGCGTGTGCCTGTAATCCCAGCTACTCAGGAGGCTGAGGCAGGAGAATTGCCTGAATCCAGGAGGCGGAGGTTGCGGTGAGCCGAGATCGTGCCATTGCACTCCAGCCTGGGTTAACAAGAGCGAAACTCCATCTCAAAAAAAAAAAAAAAAAAAAAAAAAAAGAAATACAAAAAAAGAAAAAAAAAAAAAGAAAGAAAGAAAAGAAAAAGGAAAAAAAAAATAGCCAGGTAGGTAGGCACCTGTAAGCCGAGCTACTCAGGAGGCTGAGGCAGGAGAATCGCTTGAACCCAGGAGGCAGATGTTGCAGTGAGCTGAGATCGCACCATTGTACTCCAAAGAGAGTGAAACTCCATCTCAGAAAAAAAAAGTAAGAAAAAGTAGAAATAACCCTAATGTCCTTCAGTGGGTGAATAAACAAATTGTGGTATATTCATATCATAGATTATTAGTCACCCATAAAAATAAAACAATATATGATACATAGAATAAATTGGATGGATCTGAGGTTATTTGCTTTAGGTCAAAAAGCCAACACCAAAAGGGTACATGCTGTATGATTCCGTTTTTATAATAGTCTACTAATGACAAAACTAAAGATGAAAAGATTTCTGATTGCCAAGGGTTAGGGTTGAAAAGAGGTTGTGACTATAAAAAGGTAGCATGAAGGAGTTTGCACTGATGCGACATTCTGAATCTCAATTGTGGAGGTGGTGACATGAATCAATATATAAGATTTCTTGGCCGGGCGCGGTGGCTCAAGCTTGTAATCCCAGCACTTTGGGAGGCCGAGGAGGGTGGATCACGAGGTCGAGAGATCGAGACCATCCTGGTCAACATGGTGAAACCCTGTCTCTACTAAAAATACAAAAAATTAGCTGGGCATGGTGGCACGTGCCTGTAATCCCAGCTACTCAGGAGGCTGAGGCAGGAGAATTGCCTGAACCCAGGAGGCGGAGGTTGCGGTGAGCCGAGATGGCGCCATTGCACTCCAGCCTGGGTAACAAGAGCGAAACTCCGTCTCAAAAAAAAAAAATTTCTTAAAACTACAGATAAAAACCAAACAAAAATGCACGCATGTTGAAACTGGTGAGATCCAAGTAAATTCTGTAGTTAACAGTATTCTAACAATTTCACTTTTCTGTATTTGATAGTGAACTATGCGTATGTAAGGTGTTATCTTTGGAAGAAGCTGGGTTAAGGGCATTCAAGAACTCTGGAATATTTTGGTAAGATTCTGTGAATCTAAACTTATTTCAAAATAAAAACTTACAAAAACATCTTAGTTATATTAATTTCAAAACTTAAACACATTCAAGTACGTTCAATTACACTTATGAATTGAATATACTGTATCCAGTTTCATTCGGAAGTACTTCAATTATTCTGAAATAAGACTTAGAACCAAAGGAATGCAGAAGTTAATCATATAATACAATGAGGCAAGCCTAAGATACTCTTGTATTGTATACAATATTAATTTTTAATTCGTGATTCAAGAAAGTCACAATTTAAAATGTATAAAATCAGTGACAAGGCAACTAGAAACATGGCTCAAGGTATCCTGTTCCCAAATGCACATGAGGTATATTATCTGCTAAGGTAAGAATTGTGACAGAAAGCTCTCATCCATCATTTTGCGGAAGCTTCTTTCCTTCATTAAGTTCTCTGGTATTTTCCTAAAAGTCTTTTACATCGAATGTTTTCATAAGTTTTTTTCTGCATTATTTCCTGGCACATGAGGCAAAACTTTTTTTTTTTTTTTTGAGACGGAGTTTCACTCTTCTTACCCAGGCTGGAGTGCAATGGCGCGATCTCGGCTCACCGCAACCTCCGCCTCCTGGGTTCGGGCAATTCTCCTGCCTCAGCCTCCTGAGTAGCTGGGATTACAGGCACGCGCCGCCATGCCCAGCTAATTTTTTTGTATTTTTAGTAGAGACGGGGTTTCACCATGTTGACCAGGATGGTCTCGATCTCTTGACCTTGTGATCCACCCGCCTCGGCCTCCCAAAGTGCTGGGATTACAGGCTTGAGCCACCGCGCCCAGCCCGAGGCAAAACATTTTATTGAAAACCCTGCCATGTTCACTGCCAGAGGAAAATATCTCTCCAGTGTGAACTCTCTCAATCTACTGAGGTTTTATTTCTGGGCAAAGGCTTTCCCATAATTATTACATTTCCACAATTAGTAGTTTATTCATGATCTATGATGATCATTTCTGAGAGGGTCTATCTTCCCACGAAAGGCTTTCATAGTCTGCCACATTCACAGGATTTTTCTCAGTATACGATCTTTAGACATAATGTCCTAAAATATTTTCTCAAATGTTTTGTATGTTTCTTCTGACACAAAACGTGAGGTAATTGATCACTAAACAACCAAATATTCTGCATTCATGAAATCACTCTGCAGATATCTTCAGGGCCTACATCTTGCAGGAGGCTTTCCAAAAATGACTACCTGTGAATTCTCTTATGTTTAACAAGGATAGACAAGTGGGCAAAAGCTTTCCCACAATCACTACATCCATAGGGCCTCTCTCCTGTATGTTTTCTTGAATGAACATTGAGCCCTGACTTTGTAGTGAAGGCCTTCCCGCAGTCACTGCATTTGTATGGTTTCTCTCCCGTGTGAATTCTCTGATGTGTAATGAGATCATTTTTGCGCAAAGAGAATTTTCCACATTCAGTACACGCAAAGGAGGTCTTTCCTGTGTGAAATCGCTGGTGTTGTATGAGGCATGTCTTCTTCCTGAAGGTTTTATCACATTCACTGCATTTGTACGGCTTTTCTCCAGTATGAGTTTGCTGATGGATACCAAGAGTACTCTTCATGGTGAAGCCCTTTCCACATTCATTGCATATATAAGGTTTCTCCCCAGTATGAGTTCGCTGATGTGCAATGAGCATGCTTTTCCCAGTTAAGCCTTTGCCACATTCACCGCATACATAGGGTTTCTCTCCTGTATGAGTGCGCCGATGTACATTGAGATGACTCTTCTCCGTGAAGCCTTTTCCACACTCACCGCATACATAAGGTTTCTCTCCTGTATGAGTTCGTTGATGTCCCATTAGCCGGATCTTTGCTGGAAAGCCTTTTCCACACTCACCACATACATAGGGTTTCTCTCCCGTGTGAGTTCGCTGATGCACAATAAGGCGGCTCTTCACAGTGAAGCCTTTTCCACAATCGTTGCATATATATGGCTTCTCTGCAGTATGAGTTCGCTGATGTACAAGGAGGTCACTCTTCATGGTAAAACCTTTTCGACATTCGGTGCAAACATAGGGTTTCTCTCCAGTATGTGTTCGCTGATGTCTGATGAGTGGGCTCTTCAAGGTGAAGCCCTTTCCACACTCATTGCATTTATAAGGTTTCTCTCCAGTATGAGTTCGTTGATGTACAATGAGACAGTGCCTCATTGAAAAGCCTTTTCTACATTCACTGCATGTATATAATTTCTCTTCTGTATGAGTTTGCTGATGTGTGATAAGACTATTCTTCAAAGTGAATCCTTTCCCACAGTTATTGCATATAAAGGGTTTCTCACCAGTGTGAGTTCGATGATGTGCGATAAGACGCCTCTTCTCAATGAAGCCTTTTCCACATTCACTACATATATAGGGTTTTTCTCCTGTATGAGTTTTCTGATGCGTAGTAAGACTGAACTTTGTAGAAAAGGCCTTCCCACATACACTGCATCCATGGGGTTTCTCTCCTGTATGGGTTCGCTGATGATAAATGAGCCGACACTTTTTGATGAAGGCTTTCCCACATTCACTACATGTATAAGGTTTCTCTCCCATATGAGTTTTCTGATGTATATTGAGCTGTGATTTCTTGAGGAAGGTTTTGTGACATTTAGTGCATTCATAATGTTTCAATCCTGTATGAGTTATCTGATGGTTCATTAGCCTGGATTTTCTGGAGAAAGCTTTCCCACACATACTACATCCATGAGGTTTTTCTCCAGTGTGAACTCTCTGATGATCAATACACTGAGACAACTTGAGGAAGGTTTTCCCGCATTCACTGCATACATGGGCTTTCTTTGTGTTGTGAGTTCTCTGTTCCTTAATCACCTGGGTCTTATTAATAGGTTTTGCAATTGCAGGAAACTTCATTTCAGTATAAAATTGTTTATGGTTAGCATGAAAAAGGGATTTCCCATCTCCATTAAACTCAGCAGAGTTCTTTAGGCCAGGGCTCTTTTTCTGGTTATCAAAACTTAAATTTGATTTTAAAGGTTTTTCATGTAAGCCAAAGGTTTGATGATCTTGCTTCAGCAGGATATGACCTTTGTTCTGATTAGCAATATTTCCAAACATATTCTGTTGCACACTCTTTTGAATACTTTGATTTTGCAAGCGATGCTGCAGAGGATCATCAATTTTCCTGATTTCTAGGAAAGAAGAGAACAGTCCATCACTCCATCATCTTGCTTTGAAATAAATTATTTAAACTACTTTCTTTTTTTTTTTTTTTTTTTTTTTAAAAAAAAAAGATGGGGTTTCACCATGTTGGCCAGGATGGTCTTGATCTCTTGACGTCGTGATCCACCCGCCTCGGCCTCCCAAAGTGCTGGGATTACAGACTTGAGCCACCACGCCCGGCCTTAAACTACTTTTGAAAACTGCCTTGGTGTGAGGTGACTCTTTAGTGACAACCTATTTTAGCATAAAGGAAATCCCATATATAAATATCCCTCATCTCTTACACATTGGGAGAGATGTATAAGATTCCTTTTATCTGTCACACATCAAGGAAATTCCATGTATAAATATCCTTAATTTCTTTTTTTTTTTTTTTTTTGAGACGGAGTTTCGCTCTTGTTACCCAGGCTGGAGTGCAATGGCGCGATCTCGGCTGACCACAACCTCCCCCTCCTGGGTTCAGGCAATTCTCCTGCTTCAGCCTCCTGAGTAGCTGGGATTACAGGCACGAGCCACCATGCCCAGCTAATTTTTTGTATTTTTAGTAGAGACGGGGTTTCACCATGTTGACCAGGATGGTCTCGATCTCTCGACCTCGTGATCCACCTGCCTCGGCCTCCCAAAGTGCTGGGATTACAGGCTTGAGCCACCGTGCCCGGCCAAATATCCTTAATTTCTTACAAATAACACACAATAATATAAACACACCTAAGTGTAAAAGCAACTGTACAAACAAGGCCACATAATTCACAATGTATATAGATTTGGCTGCTTTCTAAACAGGTCTTTGCACAATATACAGATAGTCAAACATAAACAGGTCACTTTTAGCAGGGAACCCCAAAATTTGGCAGGACACCAGACCATAGAAATTACTGAAATATCAGACCACACAGGTTGATCCCAAATAACAAAGGCTGTATTAAGTTATTCTACAAATACTTGCTGAATAACATCTATGTGTAAGTCATTACACTCATGTTTGGGATATACTAACATGTTCCTTTTCTTTCTTTTTTTTTTGAGACAGGATCTCACTCTGTCACCAAGGCTGGAGTGCAGTGGCACAATTTCAGCTTACTGCAACTGCAACCTCTGCCTCCCAGGCTCAAGTGATCCTTCCACCTCAACCTCTTGAGTAACTGAGACACACAGGCATGTGCCACCACACCCAGCTGATTTTTTGTATTTTTGGAAGAGATGGGTTTTTGCCATGTTATCCAGGCTGGTCTTGAACTAATGAGCTTGAGAAGATACACCTGCCTGAGCCTCCCAAAGTGCTGGGATTACAGGCATCAGCCACTATGCTCAGCCGATTTTCACAAAGGTTTAATTTTAGTTAGGAAAAAATGAATTAACGAGGAAGCAAAAAAATGAAAAAGGTAACTGCATTTTGTGAAATGTGGTTAATGGAACAATGGAGATATAAGAGGTAGAGAAAATCAAGACATAAAGAAATGACAAGGTTCACTAATAGGTTCAATGGGAGGAGTGAAAAAGGGTTAATGGAAGTGAGAACTCAAAAATCATTCCAAAATTTATATGGCTTCAGGCCAGACAGAGTAGCTCACACCTGTAGTCCCAGGACTTTGGGAGGATGAGGCGGGCAGATCACATGAGGCCAGGAGTTCAAGACCAGGCTGGCCAACATAGCAAAACCCCATCTCTACTAAAAATACAAAAATTAGGCATGGTGGCATGTGCCTGTAGTCCCAGCTACTTGGGAGGCTGAGGCACAGGAATCATTTGAACCCAGGAGATGGAGGTTGCAGTGTGCTGAGATCACACCACTGCACTCCAGCCTGGGCAACACAGCGAGCCAGATTCATACTATCTAGAATGAAGAGAAAAATTTAGCATGTATTGTGAAACATATATAATTCAAGATGATTGCTACGTATCCAAGTACAAACATGAAGAAATTGTTGAGTATATAAATCTTGAAAAAGAGCTTATCTGGAAATAGCAATGTAGATGCCATCCAACATTTACAAATTATTCAAAGAAAGAGTACTGGATGACATTTTAGTTGGAAATATGTAGAAAAAAAGAGGGAAGGCACAGGGCCAAGGATTTCGTTACTCCAACATGTAAAGTTTAGCAATTTGTTAAGTCCACCGAAATGAATCACACGCTGACTAATATGATCAGGTGTACAAGTGGAGACCCAGGTGTACAAAACAAACATCCAAGCATGTTGAGTGAGAATGTGACGGTCTCTTGAAAATGGTTAAGATATTAGATTTGGGCCAGATGCAGTGGCTCAGCCTGTAATCCCAGCACTTTAGGAGGCTGAGGCAGGTGGATCACGAGGTCAAGAGATCGAGACCATCCTGGTCAACATGGTGAAACCCCGTCTCTACTAAAAAAAAAATACAAAAAATTAGTTGGGCATGGTGGCGCGTGCCTATAATCCCAGCTACTCAGGAGGCTGAGGCAGGAGAATTGCCTGAACCCAGGAGGCGGAGGTTGCGGTGAGCCGAGATCGCGCCATTGCACTCCAGCCTGGGTAACAAGAGCGAAACTCCATCTCAAAAAAAAAAAAAGATATTAGATTTTAGTGTTCTCATCACAAAAAAGGGAAGTATGTGAGGTAGTATATCTGTTACTTGGTTCAATTTAGCTCTTCTACAAAGCACACATATTTCAAAACATTATGTTTTACATGATAAATATATGTAATTTTTATTTAGGAATTAAAAAGTAATCATGGCCTGGCATGGTGGCTCATGCCTGTCATCCCAGCACTTTGGGAGGTTGAGGCAAAGAGGATCACTTGAGCCCAGAAATTTGAGACCACCCTGTGCAACACAGTAAGACCTTTCTCTATAAAAAATACAGAAATTAGCTGGGTGTGGTGGCATGTAGTCCCAGCTATGCTAAGGTGGAAGAATTACTTGAGCTCAGAAGATTGAAGCTACAGTGAGCCATGATTGTGCCACTGCACTCCAGCCTGGGTAACAGAGTGGGAAAAAAAAATCATACATTAAAAAAAAGAAGAATGAGCCGGGCGCGGTGGCTCAAGCCTGTAATCCCAGCACTTTGGGAGGCCAAGGCGGGTGGATCACGAGGTCAAGAGATCGAGACCATCCTGGTCAACATGGTGAAACCCCGTCTCTACTAAAAATACAAAAAAATTAGCTGGGCATGGTGGCGCGTGCCTGTAATCCCAGCTACTCAGGAGGCTGAGGCAGGAGAATTGCCTGAACCGAGGAGGCAGAGGTTGTGGTGAGCTGAGATTGCGCCATTGCACTCCAGCCTGGGTAACAAGAGCGAAAACTCCGTCTCAAAAAAAAAAAAAAAAGAAGAATGTGAGACCCTCAGCATTTGATTTAAACTGTGACATACTGAGTGATTATCACATTCCCCAAACTTGCTATTCTTCTTCATTCTACATACCAGCATTAAACTAATTTTCCCAAAGCACCATCTTAAGTTTAGACGAAAGATTCTATACTTAAGACTCCAACTAATGACCTAACTAGATTCCATGTTCCTAAGGAAAGAGGAAACAATGATTTGCAGCAAAGTGTTAACTGAGCAGGGCTGAGCTATTGCAACCCTACACATTCCAAAGAAAAAACTCTTGTCTTGACTGTCTTCTAAAAGATAACCTCTGAGTCCCTGGAATATTCTGCTTGCTTAGGGTATCTTTTAATGCTTGAGGGCTTAGCTCATATCAGATAGTTTATGCTAGCAAGGTGATTTATGGTGGACACCTGGTTTTGCATGTCTCAGGCTTTGGGACACATTATATTCTTTTGACTGTGTGGGGCTAGAGACACTGGGCTTGGATGAGCTTCTCTAGTCGGCAACAACTTCACATGTGTTGTCAAACACTGTTGCTGGGAAAATTCAGCACTTTGTGCAACTCCACTAGAACCGGAGAACTGAAAGCTTGCACCTAGTTTCTCCTGGATTATTCTTTCTGTACTTTTTCTCTTTGATGATTTTAATTTGTATTATTTCACTGTCAAAAACTGTAATCATGAGTGTAGCAGTTCCCTCTCCTCGCCATTAATGTCCACCTTCTACATAGTAGGCAAAGTAACCTATCAAAAAAATGAGTTATAGCACGTCACTCCTCTACACAAAACTCCCTAATGTGTTCTGAACTCATCTGGAATAAAATCTAGGTTATGAATGCCCTTGACGGGCAGTATGTGACCTCTGTACCAAAACCTCCAACTATGACCCCACCGTTCATATTTCCAGACAGTTTTGCTCACTCTACTCTATCCACTTAAGCTTCCTAGAAGTTCCTCAAACACACTCCAGGGTCATGTTTTTCAGCTTCTCATTGTCTCACACCTGGAACACTCTTCATCCAGGAAGCCTCCACACATTCATTATCTATCCACTCAAAGGCACCTTAACCAAGAGCTGTTCCCAGGCTACAAACACAGTGCCAGCTCCCGACACTGACTGTCCCACTAGCTGCTTTAACTTTCCTTATAGCAAGTTTTACTCCAAGATGTGTTATTTATAGATCCACTTATTATTGATTATATGGTTAATTCTAAGAGAACAAAAGCAATGTGAATAATAAGGACATGGTGGCCGGGCGCAGTGGCTCAAGCCTGTAATCCCAGCACTTTGGGAGGCTGAGGCGGGTGGATCACGAGGTCAGGAGATCGAGACCATCCTGGTCAACATGGTGACACCCCATCTCTACTAAAAATACAAAAAATTAGCTGGGCATGGTGGCGCGTGCCTGTAATCCCAGTTACTCAGGAGGCTGAGGCAGGAGAATTGCCTGAACCCAGAAGGCGGAGGTTGTGGTGACCCGAGATCGCGCCATTGCACTCCAGCCTGGGTAACAAGAGCAAAACTCCGCCTCAAAAGAAAAAAATAAGGACATGGTATGTTTTTTCTTTCTTATTTGTACTGCTGATACTGATAGCTTTGGAATACAGTGGGCTATCAAAACGCAAGTTGTGTGTGAGTGATTTTTTTTTTTTTTTGAGATGGAGTCTCGCTGTGTTGCCCAGCCTGGAGTGCAGTGGCATGATCTTGGCTCATTGAAACCTCTGCCTCCAGGGTTCAAGTGATTCTCCCACCTCAGCCTCCCGAGTAGCTGGGATTACAGGCACGTGCCACCACATCCAGCTAATTTTTGTATTTTTAGCGGAAACAGGGTTCACCATGTTGGCGAGCTGGTCTCAAACTCCTGAACTCAAGTGATCCACCGGCCTTGGCCTCCCAAAGTGCTGGGATTACATCTGTGAGCCATCTCGCCCAGCCAAAAAGATAAGTTCTAAAGGAGAGAATCACATGTTTGTATCACACTGAAGAATGTTTAGGAGGAGAACAGAAACTTTTTTCTTTTTGAGACGGCGTTTCGCTCTTGTTACCCAGGCTGGAGTGCAATGGCGCCATCTCGGCTCACCGCCACCTCCGCCTCCTGGGTTCAGGCAATTCTCCTGCCTCAGCCTCCTGAGTAGCTAGGATTACAGGCACGTGCCACCATGCCCAGCTAATGTTTTGTATTTTTAGTAGAGACGGGGTTTCACCATGTTGACAGGATGGTCTCGATCTCTTGACCTCATGATCCACCCGCCTCGGCCTCCCAAAGTGCTGGGATTACAGGTTTGAGCCACTGCACCCGGCCGAACAGAAACTTTTTATAATCAAGATAATATCACATCACAATGATCACTCAAGGAGAACCAGTAATCACATACGACAAGGAACATGATTAACTGGGACTAGGTGTCATCAAAATATGATAGAAAAGTAAGTAATCTTATTTCTATATTCTAGCAATGAATAATCTGAAAATTTAATCAAGAAAACAATTCTATTAACAGCAGAAACAAAAAGAAAACTATACTTAGGAATATACTTAAGAAGACATAAAAAATAAACAAAACAAAAAACCAAAAAAAGGAAAAATAAGAAACAAAAACTAAAAAAAAAAAAAAAAGAGTATACTTAGCAAGTGCCAATTTACATTCTGAAAGCAATATAGCATTGTCAGAAGTCAAAGACCTAACAAGATGTAAAACTGTCCAATGCTCATGAATCAGAATACTTAATATGATAAAAATGGGAATACTCCCCCAAATTGTTACACAGACTCAGTGCAATACCTACCAAAATCCTAGCCACCATTTTCGTAGAAATTTACAACTGATTCTAAACTTCAAATGGAAATTCAAAGGACTCAGAATAGTCAAAACAATCTTCAAAGCAAAGAACTAAGTTGGAGGACTCAAACTTCCCAATTTTAAAACTTACTGCAAAACTATAATTATCGAGACTATTTGAGAATATACATTAAATGTTCCAAAATTGACTGTAGCATGGTTACACACCTAGGTGAATAGATTAAAAACCACTGACCTGTACACCTTAAATGGGTGAAATCATTAGGCCGGGTGCGGTGGCTCAAGCCTGTAATCCCAGCACTGGGAGGCCGAGGTGGGTGGATCACGAGGTCAAGAGATCGAGACCATCCTGGTCAACATGGTGAAACCCCGTTTTTACTAAAAATATAAAAAAATTAGCTGGGCATGGTGGCATGTGCCTGTAATCTCAGCTACTCAGGAGGCTGAGGCAGGAGAATTGCCTGAACCCAGGAGGCGGAGGTTGTGGTGAGCCGAGATGGCGCCATTGCACTCCAGCCTGGGTAACAAAAGTGAAACTCCGTCTCGGGGAAAAAAAAAAAAAAAAAAAAAAAAAGGGTGAAATCACGTGACATGTGCATTGTATCTCAATATCACTGTTTAAAAATATGATGAAAAAAACAAAAGGAAAAAAAAAAAAGAAAAAAACAAAAGCTATACAGAAATGAATGCAGTAAAAACATCTAAGATGAATTAAAGAAAGTTCAGAATTAGCAAAACCATGAAGAAAATAATTTGCAGCAGACATAAACGTCTGATGGTTTGGGGTAGAAATAACATAGGACATTAAAAGGTCTTATCTAATTAATGAAAAATTTATCTTGCCGGGCGCGGTGGCTCAAGCCTGTAATCCCAGCACTTCGGGAGGCCGAGGCGGGTGGATCACGAGGTCAGGATATCAAGACCATCCGGGTCAACATGGTGAAACTCCGTCTCTACTAAAAATACAAAAAATTAGCTGGGCATGGTGGCGCGTGCCTGTAATCCCAGCTACTCAGGAGGCTGAGGCAGGAGAATTGCCTGAACCCAGGAGGCGGAGGTTGAGGTGAGCTGAGATCGTGCCATTGCACTCCAGCCTGGGTAACAAGAGTGGAAACTCCGTCACAAAAAAAAAAAAAAAAATCAAAGTAGAGAACTTGAAGAGAGTTCAGCAGGTAGAAAACATTTTAAGGTAATGCTAGGATCGGCAGAAGTTATGACGTGCAGTAATGAAGGAGACACTGAATTTAAACGGGAAAGCCTGTAGCATGATTCACAGTAGTAAAGACATGGAATCAACCTAGATGCCCATGAATGGTGGACTGGATGACTGAGGTACATAGACACCATGGAATACTATGAAGCCATAAAAAAGAATAAAAGCATGTCATTTGCAGCAACATTGATGCCACTACAGGCCATTGTCCTAAGTGAAGTAACTCAGAAACAGAAAACCAAATACTGTGTAATCTCGCTCACCAGCAAGAGCTAAACATTAGGTACACACAGACATAAAGACAAGAACAATAGACACCGGGGACTCCAACAGGGAGAAGGGAGGAAGGCAAGGGTTGAAAAACCACCTCTTGGCCGGGCGCGGTGGCTCAAGCCTGTAATCCCAGAACTTTGGGAGGCCGAGGCGGGTGGATCACGAGGTTGAGAGATCGAGACCATCCTGGTCAACATGGTGAAACCCCGTCTCTACTAAAAATACAAAAAAATTAGCTGGGCATGGTGGCACGTGCCTGTAATCCCAGCTACTCAGGAGGCTGAGGCAGGAGAATTGCCTGAACCCGGGAGGCGGAGGTTGCGGTGAGCCGAGATCGCGCCATTGCACTCCAGCCTCGGTAACGAGAGCGAAACTCCGTCTCAAAAAAAAAAAAAAAAAAAGAAAAACCACCTATTGGGTACTATGTTCACTATTTGGGTGTCAGAATTGAGCTTCTGTTGAATCCTTGGCATCAGGCAATATATCCACGAAACAAACTTGCATATGCACTTCCTGAATCTAAAATAAAAATATAAAAGATAAAATAAAATCTAAAAAATAAAATTAAATAAGGATAGCCAAAAGCATTATTCTTGGAGAGAAGATTATTCTTGTTCCTCATACACCAAATGGGAAGTTACAGGTTAGTTGTCATGAAGACAAGTAAAATACATGGAAATAAAGTATACACTAGATAATATGAAAGCAGAAGTCAATTTGGCAGTTTCTTCCAGAGAATGCAAAGAATTTACTCATGGGAATGAAGGAAATCTTTAAGAGTTATGAGAACAGAAAAGAAAATGGCAGAAGCTGGACATGGTGGCTCACATTGTAATCCCAGCACTTTGGGAGGCCAAGGCAGGGAGATCCCTTGAGCTGAGAAGTTTGAGACCAGCCTACACAACATGACAAAACCCCGTCTCTACAAGAAATACAAAAATCAGCTGAGCGTGGTGGTGTGTGCCTGTAGTCCCAGACACTTAGGAAGCTGAGGTGGGAGGATTGCTTAAGACCAGGAGGTCGAGGCTGCAGTGAGCCATGATTGCGCCACTGCACTCCAGCCTGGGTGACAGATGAGACCTTGTTTCAAAAAAAAGAAAAAAAAAAAGTATGGAGAAACTCAATATTCAGTATAGGAGGAATAAGAGAACTGAAGAAGTACATAAATGCCCGTCAGAGACCAGGTTATCATGGGCGCAGCATCCAGAGTGGGAAAAATGAAGGAAAATAAGGATTCCCAGGGTGGGAATAATGAAGGAAAAATATTGTTTTCCTTCTAGGGCAGGAAGACACAGTATCACAAAACAAGTAATGAGTTCAAAGGTATCTCTTTCTGCAGACGCCTAGAAAGTGGAATTTCATACACAAGCAGACACGCTGTGACAGTGGATGAGAAAAGGCAGATGTGAAAATCCTAATATAATTATGTAGACAAAAATAAGATGTGTATAAAATAAACAAAGATGAAATCTCAAGGAAAAGAAAGGGGGGCATATTTTCTATACTATAGAAAAAAAAAAAAAAGAGCTCTTCCCTGGGAAGGAGTCACGGAGGGGTCGTTGCTGTGCCTTCAGATGCCCTCACTGCTTTGACATCTGCTTTGTGTGAGCAGAGCACGATGTCTGACTGCCCACCTGGCTGATTCTCTCACTCACCAGAACAGACATGAGTGTAGATTTCATCTTCTGTTCTGCAGCAAGATTCTTCTCCTCGTTCGAACTTCAAGAGTGCATCCGGTTTGCTGGCTTGATACCCTGTGCATGAGAAATAACAGAAGACTTAGACATATAAAACTAGGCTGGCAATGTTGAAAGGAGAGAATGTGACATTTTAAGAGCTACACAGGTGTCAGATCGGTAACATCAAGGCTTTTCTCTCACAAGAAGATAGATTTTTTTTTTTTTTTTTGAGACGGAGTTTCGCTCTTGTTACCCAGGCTGGAGTGCAATGGCGCAATCTCTGCTCATCGCAGCCTCCGCCTCCTGGGTTCAGGCAATTCTCCTGCCTCAGCTTCCTGAGTAGCTGGGATTACAGGCACGTGCCACCATGCCCAGCTAATTTTTTTATATTTTTAGTAGAGACGGGGTTTCACCATGTTGACCAGGATGGTCTCGATCTCTTTTTTTTTTTTTTTTTTTTTGAGACGGAGTTTCACTCTTGTTACCCAGGCTGGAGTGCAATGGTGCAATTTTGGCTCATCGCAGCCTCCGCCTCCTGGGTTCAGGCAATTTTCTTGCCCAGCCTCCTGAGTAGCTGGGATTACAGGCACGCGCCACCATGCCCAGCTAATTTCTGTATTTTTAATAGAGACAGGGTTTCACCATGTTGACCAGGATGGTCTCGATCTCTTGACCTCGTGATCCACCCGCCTCGGCCTCCCAAAGTGCTGGGATTACAGGCTTGAGCCACCGCGCCCGGCCTACAAGAAGATAGATTATACTGTCTTGCATGAGACAAGAGAATGATGTGAGAATCTACCACGTCAGAGTACTACAGGTAAGAAGCCGAGAAAGGACGGTCACTGACTGGGCACCCTCCGAATGACACAAGCTGTCCTCACCCACTGCCACCAGGTTGCTGTAGTTTTCCAACATTACGTCCCGATACAGGTCCTTCTGAGTAGGGCCCAGGAGTCGCCACTCCTCCCAAGTGAAGTCCACAGTCACATCCTCCAGTGTTAGAGATTCCTGTAATAACACACTCCTGTTTAATGAAGTGATACTCTTTTTGCGATAGGAAAAGAATGTCAAGGAAGTCATTCTGCTCATTTTTACCATATAGGAGGCTGGCGGGTTTTTTTCTCAGTACATTGCAACAGAATAAGAATCCTAGTAAAATATTCTGTAATTACGCAGTCATCCATTTTCAACCAAGTTGAAAAGTCAAAGAAATTTCTGTAATATACAGTCATCCAATCCTCTTGCTAATGGAAGAACACCTAAAATATATAGCCTATATTTCCCAGTATCAAACTAGCTATAAGTATATGCTAGTTACAAGCAGATGAATAATACAGATTCTTAAATTCACTATGAGCTTTCAGGCCAATTATCGAACTCTGTAATGAAGAGATGGCAGATGTGATATCCCAGGGCAATGCATCCTAGATAACTACTATGGCTAATAGAGTTAACCATATTATTATTTTATCCATAATGAAATGAAAGAAATGATATAAAATATATATGAAGAACAAGAGGTTATTAGATGATTAAGCAAATTTGTTTTTTTGTTTGCTTGTTTTGCTTTTTTTGAAATGGAGTCTTGTTCTGTTGCCCCGACTGGAGTGCAGTGGCACAAGCTCAGCTCACTGCAACCTCTGCTTTCCGGGTTCAAGCAATTCTCCTGCCTCAGCCTCCTTAGTAGCTAGGATCACAGGCACACACGGTTAGCAGAGATCTTGCCACTGCACTTCAGCCTGGGCAAGAAGAGTGAAACTCCATCTCAAAAAAATAAAAAAGAACACCACCTAACACATCACCTCTGTGAAGAACTATCAAAGACGTGTCTAAGCCTCAGAATTATGTGCCATGAAACATTAATATCCCTCAAGAAACTCGTCTGCTTTCTCACAGTTGATGTAACTTATCATGATTCTCTTGTATGGCTAGAGGCAAGTTTACAGCAAATGTAACCTATAGAGCCCTGCACAGACACAAATTCCAACATGAATCATGTAGTATGAATCCTATGAATAATATATCCCTGATCCTTCTTTGTCCAGATTTCTCTAAGTCCTGATACTCCCAATTTACACTTTTCTGATTAATTATACTGATTCTTACAGGACTTTGAAAATACATTGGAGAATAAAGGAAAGAATAAAACAAACCAAAAGTCACCTGGGCCTGCATCATTGTCTCCTAAATCTGGGAAATTACTGGTAACTTGGACGCTCTGTATTTGGCTCTTCTGAATCAGTTCTCAATTTCTGGTCAAAAACTTCAATCTCCAGTCAAGGATACTCCAAGAAATGATGACCCCGGTCTTGGAAACTCTGCCTCCTTCCTTCACTTGATTTCTTGTTCTCAGCACCTGTGGGCTAAACAGCAAATTACTCTGAGTGATTCATTCTCTTTAGGCCCAGATGTTGTCACTGTTCCTATATGCTTACTTTAAATCAAGGCTCCAAAATATCTCTCTGTTCCTTTATTTAGTGCTCCAGAAATTTTATATCTGGGCTAGGAAAATACAACATTCTGAATATATGGAAGGTACAGCTCCCTTATATATAAAGTTGACATGGTATGACTACTGTTAGTAAGTGAAAGAAGATGTGGGAAAAAGAATCATGACAACATGATGCCCCAGCAGCAGGGGAATCCTCAGGCAGAACAATTTTAGAAAAGAGGTCACATGGATAGTAAAGATGCACACATTTTGTCTTTAAAACCATGCACACCCATCTACCTTTTCAAAAGTCTTTTTTTTTTTTTTTTTTGAGACAGAGTTTCACTCTTGTTACCCAGGCTGGAGTGCAATGGCGCGATCTCGGCTCACTGCAACCTCCGCCTCCTGGGTTCAGGCAATTCTCCTGCCTCAACCTCCTGAGTGGCTGGGATTACAGGCACGCGCCACCATGCCCAGCTAATTTTTTGTATTTTTAGTAGAGATGGGGTTTCACCATGTTGACCAGGATAGTCTCGATCTTTTGACCTCGTGATCCACCCGCCTGGGCCTCCCAAAGTGCTGGGATTACAGGCGTGAGCCACTGCGCCCGGCAGGTTCAAAATTTTTCACAAAAATATGTTAGGCAGAGAGAAAAATACTGTAATACTAAGATGACCAAATATAAAGTAAATATCTAAAATTAATTGATCTTTTGTTATAGATTATAAGGAAAGGAGAGTCAGAAAGCAATACACTGCAATAAAAGTAATAGTCTAAAGTAAAGATAAAAGGCAGGAAAAACAAAATTCATAGATAAATGGATAATCATGAAACGTTCCTAAAAATGATACCTCTACATTTAAAAACACTTCTTTTTTTTTTGAGACGGAGTTTCAGTCTTGTTACCCAGGCTGGAGTGCAATGGCGCAATCTCGGCTCACCGCAACCTCCGCCTCCCGGGTTCAAGCAATTCTCCTGCCTCGGCCTCCTGAGTAGCTGGGATTGCAGGCACGTACCACCATGCCCAGCTAATTTTTAGTATTTTTAGTAGAGACGGGGTTTCACCATGTTTACCAGGATGGTCTTGATCTCTCGACCTCTTGATCCACCCGCCTCGGCCTCCCAAATTGCTGGGATTACAGGCTTGAGCCACCACGCCTGGTCTAAAACACTTCACTTCTAACAACATATGTATAAACTTAATGTGAATGCACTCATAGTACCACCGGTTCAAACAGTAAAAACAACTTGTAAATGTTTATTACATAATATAAAGTAAAAGAGAAAACAGTAGTACCATTTACATAATTTATCTGAATTATGAATATTGAGCACATAATATACATATCTAAAATGGAAATATTCTAAAAATTCGACAAAGGTTATCTTTCAGTAACCAAGCTTACCAAGGCAAAGCTGTTATCTTACTAGTATCAAGAAGAACCTGGCCGGGCGCAGTGGCTCAAGCCTGTAATCCCAGCACTTTGGGAGGCCGAGGCGGGTGGATCACGAGGTCGAGAGATCGAGACCAACCTGGTCAACATGGTGAAACCCCGTCTCTACTAAAAATACAAAAAATTAGCTGGGCATGGTGGCACGTGCCTATAATCCCAGCTACTCAGGAGGCTGAGGCAGGAGAATTGCCTGAACCCAGGAGGTGGAGGTTGCGGTGAGCCGAGATCGCGCCATTGCACTCCAGCCTGGGTAACAAGAGCGAAACTCCGTCTCAAAAAAAAAAAAAAAAAAAAAAAAAAAAAAAAAGAACCTGAAAAGAAATGTCCAAGAGGAATATACTGGAAACTTGCAAAGAGTAGAAGCCGCATCTTAAATATAAAAGATACTACTTTTATGTGTGCTAGATGATTGATCTCGCCTAAAATTTCCATTTTTGAGGATTTAAGACCAAGGAGTGATGGAGGGTGCCAAAGGGGATTTAAAAACCATTCGTGGAGAAGGGTCTTGGGCAGAAGGGGAATCCTAATGATCCTCAAGTCTGTTCCAGTAGCCAGGGCTGGGGCTCAACGCACCACCACCTGCCATGCTTCCCAGGCCTCCAGAGCTGCAGCCCACACCCGAATCTGTAGCAGTAACACCACCGCCACCCGGATTCATTCCAAAACCTGCACCAGAAACCTCCCTACCTTAATCCCCACGACAGTTCCTCCGTCATTTAGTACCAAACAAAAACCGAACCATAAACCTAACAGCTGACGAAACAAACCCTCCAGTTCGCAATCACTGAGCCCCGCCAAAGGACAACAGCAAAGACACCAGAATGTGGCTTGGGCACGCAGCAGCGGATCTCTAGAGATTTTTAACCACAAACCACACGAGGACCCTGTGACTGGTCCCAGAGGCACCCCGCGTAACCAAACGCTGGCGCCACCAGACCGGAGTCCATCACCACTGTCCACGAACACGCCCAGCCACAGACCGAATTTCCTCCCCCGTAACCACAGTGACCGCCCAGTGACCGAACTTACTTCCCAGAAGTTGGTCAGCGGCGGCCTCACCTCTCGGCCTCCTCACTGCCTTACGGCAACTACCGAGGGCGGAAGCGTTCGCGGTGTTCCCTCAGAAGCAAGATGGCCGCGCCCTCGGCACCGCGGCCCCATGGGAGCCTCCATCTTGGAGTATCTGACGTACACGAGGCCGAGGGGCCGTTTCGGCGCAGGTCACCGGAAATGGCTGGGAAGATGAAAGGGCACCGGAAACCGTCCCATTTCTTGGTGCCTCAATCCTTCATAAATACGGGTCCAGAGACAGAAGCTCCAGTTTACACAAGACAAAAATGGCGTGGGATTAAACTCCTTTGGGCGAGCTGGGTAGCACGGCTAAGCCGGCCGCGACGTCTACACTCTGTACAAAGGTTGGGAAACAGCCCCTTGTGAGGGAAAGGAGAACTGGCCGAGAGGGGACACCGCGGCCCCTTGGCCGGATTTCTAGCAGAAAGTGGCTTGAAGCGCCTTTTGAACGCGGAAGAGGGCTGCTAGCTCCGCGGACGGAACGGGGGTGGCAGTCGGAGACCAGGTCAGGAAAGCGGTTGGAACGTGCCAGAATGACACCGAGCCCAAAGGCGTGGGGATGAGCCAGTCACAGCCACAAAGTACAGTTCCCAAGGCGAAGGGCCGAGCCTGGGACGGAGGCGGGACTTGTCTCTTGGACCCGGGTGGAGCCAAAGATGGGGGCAGGACTCAGGAGAAGCGGCCAGAAATTAAGGGAACAGGACCACTTCAGGGAGAAATAAGATTGGAAGAAAGGGGCGAAGGAAAGGAGATCCATCCTTCCTTCCTTCCCTCCTTCCCTCCTTCCCTCCTTCCCTCCTTCCCTCCTTCCCTCCTTCCCTCCTTCCCTCCCTCCTTCCCTCCTTCCCACCTTCCCACCCTCCTTCCCTCCTTCCCTCCCTCCTTCCTTCCTTCCTTCCCTCCCTCCGTCCTTCCTTACTTTTTTCCTTTCTTCCCTCCCTCCTTCCCTCCCTTCTGTCCTTCCTTCTCTCCTTCTCTCCCTCGCTCCCTCCCTCCCTCCCTCCTTCCTTGCTTCTTTCCCTCCCTCCCTCCCTCCTTTCTCCCCCCTTCCCCCCCTTCTCCCCCCTGCCCCCCTCCTTTCTCCCCTCCTGCCCCCCTTCTCTTGTTTTCTTTCCTTTTCTTTGGCAAGAGCCAGTCTGTTGCCCAGTCTGGAGTGCCTGGGGCGATCACAGCCCACTGTAACCCGGAACTCCTGGGCTCCTGAGTAGCTGGGACTACAGGTGGACTCCGCCACACCTGCCTAATTTTTACATTTTCTGTAGAGTCCGGGGCTTCACCGTGTTGCCCAACTGGTCTTTAACTGGCCTTAAGCAGTCCTCCCACTTCTTCCTCCCAAAGTGCTGGGATGACAGGTGTGAGCCACTTCACCTTTCACCCGGCTCATACAGAGATCTGAAAGGAAGAAAAAAGCCGAGCGCAGTGGCTCGCATCTGTCATCCTAGCACTTTGGGAGGCCAATGCGGGAGGATTGCCTGAGCTCAGGCGTTGGAGACCAGCCTGGCCAACATGGCGAAAACCCATCTTTACTAAAAATAGCAAAAACAATTAGCTGGGCATGGTGGCGCAGGCCGGTAGTCCCAGCTACTCAGAAGGCTGAGGCACAAGAATCGCTTGAACCTAAGAGGCGCAGGTTGCAGTGAGCCGAGTTCGGGCCATTGCCCTCTAGCCTGGGCGACAGAGGGAGACTCTTGTCTCAAAAGTAAATAAATAAAAATGAGGAAACGATGACCAACTTAAAAGCTCACTACAATTTTTTATAAATAGATGAAGGAAATAAACAGGACACTTATTTTTTAATGTAAATGATCCTAGTTTTTAAAATACCAGTTTTACTAAAATTCAAACAAACGCAAAGTAAACGTGAAATGTAAATGTTTTAACCCTTAAGATTCATAAAGATTGAATGATAAATCATATTTAGATTATAAGGCCATGGAACAAAGGCATTCTGTTATGCTAAGCCTCTTTAAGTCTCCTTTTTCTGCATAGTGGGTAAGAATGTTGTCCATGACATACAGCCTTAAATAAATTGAGATATTATCATACTTGTCATAATTCAAAGTTCTTAAGCATTACATTATTTCTAGGTATAGGATTGTGTCTCTATATAAGTTAGTAAATGTTTTTGTAGTACAGCCTGTTTTTACCCATATTAAAGTTTTCCTTCTTTTTGAGCCATGAATTTTAAGAATTAATTCAATAGAACTTTGTGAGAACAAATATGTGCAGGGATATTTATGGTATCAATTTAACAATTAGGAGATAATTTTGTGGTTATTGCACAAATTTTTTCTTGTATCTCTATATTCACATCTTCAGGTAGTACGCTCCATTGTGACTCTGACCAGTGTGTCCAATAGGACAGTACCAAGTGTAAACACAGAAGTCAGAAATAAGCTTGCTCATAGAGGCTTGCTTTGTCTCGTAGAGATCTAACACATTGTAATAAAGCACCTGCCCCTACTAGCCTCTTGTTGACCCTGTAAATAAAGGCCTCATCCATTCCAGCAGAAGTCCAAATAAGTGAAAAAAAACTATTTAGACCATGCAACCCCAGCCAAAATCCAACCACTAGGGCCTCCAGCCCAGCAATCCCAATTGTTACTAAATTCTGTGGACAGGCATAAACCCATGGGTGTGTGGGGGTCACCTAATCTGCCATCCAGGTGCTTATCCCTGCTCCTAGCCAAGCAGGATTTGCCAGCCTGGGGGGTTTCCAAGTAGAGAGGGGCCCTCACTCTTGGATCACCGTAAGAGGTGAGACACCTTGGTCTGCAGGACATTGGAGAAGTCGGGTGTGCCTTCCTCTGTAGGGCCACCTGGCAATGATACAGCCTGTCTGCAAACCATGATCTCTGCCTGAGGGAGCCCCATGAGCAGAGGATGCCAAAGGCCTTGGGAACCCACCCTTTGCACTAGATTTAATGACTGCCCTGCTGGATTTTGAAACTTCATGGAGCCCGTAGCCCCTTTCTTGTGGTTTTCACCCTTTTGGAATGAGAACATTTACCCAATGTCGATACCCCCATTGTATCTTGGAAACAAATAACTTGATTTTACAGGCTCACATGTAGAAGAGGCTTGCCTTGTCTCAGATTAGACTTTGGACTTTTGAGTTAATGCTGGAATGAGTTAAGACTTTGCGGGACTGTTAGGAAGGCATGATGGTATTTTGCAATGTGACGACATAAGCTTTGTGGGGAAGGAGGACCAGGGCTGAATGATATAGCTTGGATATTTGTCCCTGCCCAAATCTCATGTTGAAATGTAATCGTCAATGTCAAAGGTGTGGCTTGGGAGGTGTTTGGGTCATGGGGGCAGATCCTTCATGGGGATTTGATGCTGCCCTTGCAATAGTGAGTACTAGCAAGATCTAGTTATTTGAGTGTGTGGCACCTACCACCCTCCACTCTGTCTTGCTCCTGCTCCCTCTTCACCTTCCACCATGATTGTAAGCTTCCTGTGGCTTCCCCAGGACCAGATGTCAGTGCTATGCTTCCTGTACAGCCTGCAGAACCATGAGCCAATTAAAACTCTTTTCTTTTCTTTCTTTTTTTTAGACGGAGTTTCACTTGTTACCCAGGCTGGAGTGCAATGGTGCGATCTCAGCTCACCGCAACCTCTGCCTCCTGGGTTCAGGCAATTCTCCTGCCTCAGCCTCCTGAGTAGCTGGGATTACAGGCACGCGCCACCATGCCCAGCTGATTTTTTGTATTTTTAGTAGAGACAGGGTTTCACCATGTTGACCAGGATGGTCTCGATCTCTTGACCTCGTGATCCACCCACCTCGGCCTCCCAAAGTGCTGGGATTACAGGCGTGAGCCACCGCACCCAGCCCTAAACCTCTTTTCTTATAAATTACCCAGCCTCAAGTATTTATTTATAGAAAAGCAAGAAAGGCAAAAAAACATGTTGTCTCTACTTTAAAAAAAAAAAAAAAAGCCAGGCATGATGGTACACACATATAGTCCCACTTACTTGGGAGGCTGAGGCAGGAAGAACAATTGAACCTATGAGTTTGAGGCTGGAGTGAACTATAATTGCACCACAGCACAAGACCCTCTCTCTCTCTCTTTTTTTTTTTCTAGACAGTCTTACTTTGTCGCCCAGGCCTGGAATGCAGTAGCAGGATCTCAGCTCACTGCAACCTCCACCTCCTGGGTTCAAATGATTCCTACTTCAGCCTCCCAAGTAGTTGGGATTACAGGTGCCCACCACCACACCCAGCTAATTTTCTGGTGTATTTTTAGTAGAGACAGGGTTTCACCATGTTGGCCAGGCTGGTCTTGGACTCCTGACCTCAAGTGATCTGCCTGCCTTGGCCTGTCAAGAGACCCTATCTCTTAAAAAAGAAAAGAAAGAGGTTAAGATTGTAAATCCTAAAAAACAAACAAAACACCAAAAGCAAAATTCTGTGTATAAATTTCACAGCATCTTTATTTATAACACTTCAAATCAGGAAAACAGTGCAAATATCTCTCATAGGTGAATGGATAGGCAAACTAGTACATCATATATGTATACCACTCCCTAATACAAACAACTTTCATCTGGTTAGATAAATGATGGTAAAAAAATAATAAGAAAACAACTATTCATCAACTCATATAAACCTTAGGAGTAATCTGCTGAGTGACAAAAATGCCAAAAGCTTACATACTCTCTATCAATAAAAATTTATATAATGTTTATATAAAATTTATAAAAACCATTTATAAAAACAATTTTATCACATTCATGAAATTATTAAATTATACTGATGGAAAGGAAAAGAGTGGGTGGCAGAGTTAGGTTTGGATGGAGTTTAAGCATAAAAAGATAGTATGAGGGAGTTTGTATTCATGAAACAGTTTTATATGGTTGCGGTGGTTACACGAATCTATACATGTAATACAACTTAGAGTCAAAAGCAAAAAGAAAAAAACATAAAAACTAGTGAAATCCCAGATAAGATTATTTACTTCATGGTATCCTGCCAATGTTATTTTTCTGGTTTTGATAATTATGGTCATGTAGGATGTTTTTACCAGAAGTTGGTTGAAAGATACTGGCAAAGCCTCTAGACTTATTTTTGCAATTTCTTTTGAGTTCAATTTTATTTAAGTTGAAGGTGTTTTTATAAACTGATCTTAGTTAAGCACATCCAAATATGTTGTTAATATATTTAACATATTCAGTTTCTTTTTAAACTACTTCAGTTTGCTAAATGTACAATTAAGCTTAGAGCCAAAGAAAGGAAAGAGCTAATCATAATATGTGGTGGTCATAGATCATTCCAGTCTGGTTCTGGGGTATTTTCTGACACCAATAAATTCTCCAATTCTCCCACACCAACTGGGTGTTCCACAATTCAATTCTGACACTAACTACTCCAAGTTAGCACAGACTCTACAAGTTAAGGGGCTCAGTCCAACAAGACTGCCCCCACATCAGAGGCCACTCACAAGGACAACCTGCACTTCTGAATGACTGGTGATAAATTCAGAGTTCCCACTACCCCTGCTCAGGTTTGATAATTTGCTACAGGACTCACAGAACTCAACAAAACAGTGTACTTTGTTTTATTGGTTATAAAGGATGCAAATGAACACTCAGATGAAGAGGTACACAGAGTAAAGCCTGAAAGGGTCCTCCTAATCTCAGGAGCCTCTGTCCCTATGAAGTTGGGGTGTACACCCTCCTGGGATATTTGGAGTTCTCTTAATCTCACTGTCTAATCTCCAGCCCCACTCCCCTTCCAGGAGGCAGGAGAAATGGGACACAAAATTTCCATCCTCTAGTTACTTGATCTTCCTAGGGAACAGCCACATCCTAAGGCTGTCTAGGTGACCGACTGTAAGTTACCTCAGTAGCAGTCAGGTGTAATTAAAAGGGCAGTGCTCTGAATAACAACAACAAAAAGAACCATCCTATTACTCATGAAATTCTAAGGGTTTTAGGAGCTCTGTGCCAGTAACTAAGGACAAAGACCAAATGTATACCACAATTTTACATAACAGTAAAAATAAAGAGTGATGAGAACAGAGTATATTATGGAAATCATTGGCAAGGCAACTGAAAATGCACACCAGGTTTATTAGCTGATGTATAAGGTTATTAAGAAAAAGCACTCAAACATTCATCATTTTCACCACATTTCATGCCTTCATGAGCTCTTGACATTTTGCTAAGTGTTCCACATTTAATTGATAGCGTGTTCGTAACCATTTTACTTTCTATGTGATTTCCTGACGAATGATGAAGCAGAATGCGTCACTGAAATCCTGCCATTAATACTGTTACCTTAAATTTATTTTCCAGTGTAAACATTGACACTCACTGAGGTCATATTTCTGAGTAAAGGCTTTGTCATGGTCATCAATGTTTCTATCAACAATAAGCTCACTTATGTTGAAATCTATGATGAAACCTGATAATAAAGTCTATCTTTGCACAGAAGACTTTTCCTAGTCTCTGCATTCACAGAATTTATCTGTGTACACTTTTCAGATATATGAGCAAAATTATTGCTCAAGACATTTTCACATTAATATATTATAGTTTATTCAACATGTTTTCATTAACAGAAAATATGAGGTAAAAGACCACTAAAGGCACTACCTTATTTACTGTATTCATCAGGTTTATCTCTAGGGCAAATTATTTTACCTCCTGAGGACACACATCTGATAACAGGCAGCACCAGGTTTATGTTCCGATTTGCTAGAGACACACTGATGTTTAAAAAACTCTGAGGTGCCACAAAAGGCATTTCCATAGTCACTGCACTAGTAGGGTGTTCATTACGCATGAGTTCACTTGTAAGGAAGAAGCTGTGACTCCGCATTACAGGAATTTTCAACTTGCCTGATTCTGTTATCCCTTTCTCTTACGTGCATCTTCTTATGTTTGACGAGGTTTGATAAGTGGGAGAAGGCTTTCTCACAATCACTGCAACCATAGGGCCTCTCTCCTGTGTGCGTTCTTTGATGTACATTGAGTACTGACTTTGTGCTGAAGGCTTTTCCACATTCATTGCACTCATAAGGTTTCTCTCCTGTGTGAATTCTCTGATGGGTAATGAGACCGTATTTGTGTGAATAGGATTTTCCACACTCAGTACATACAAAGGGAGTCTTTCCTGTATGACATCTCTCATGTTGTATGAGGCATATTTTCTGGCTGAAGGCTTTACCACATTCATTGCATTCATAGGGTTTTTCTCCTGTGTGAGTTCGCTGATGTATAATAAGAGTACGCTTTGTGGTGAAGCCTTTACCACATTGATTGCATATGTAAGATTTCTCTCCTGTATGAGTTCGCTGATGTATAATGAGAGTGCGTTTGACAGTGAAGCCTTTTCCACATTCGCTGCATATGTAAGATTTTTCTCCTGTATGGGAGCGCTGATGTACAATGAGATTGCTCTTCACGGTAAAGCCTTTTCCACATTCACTGCATATATAGGGTTTCTCTCCAGTATGAGTTCGCTGATGTACAACAAGATAGCGCTTCATGGTGAAGGCTTTTCCACATTCGCTGCATATATAGGGTTTCTCCCCTGTATGAGTTCGCTGATGTACAATGAGATTGCTCTTCACAGTGAAATCTTTTCCGCATTCATTGCACACATAAGGTTTCTCCCCACTATGAGTTCGCTGATGAGCAATTAGATAGCGCTTCATTGTAAAGCCCTTTCCACACTCACTGCACATATAGGGTTTCTCTTCTGTATGGGTTTGTTGATGTGCAATGAGACTAGTCTTCACAGTAGAGCCTTTTCTACATTCACTGGGTATACAAATTTTGTCTCTTTTATTCGTTTTCAGATGCTTACTAAACAGGACACTTCTGGACACCTCCTCACACCGACCACTTCCAGGATTCTCTTCTATATGAATGTTCTCATGGTAAATGAGCTGAGACTTCCCAAGGAAGGTTTGCTCATTTTCAATGCATGCATCGGGTTTCTCAATTTTCTGAGTCTTCTGATGCTTCAATACTTGGAATTTTGTATGGATGCATTTTGCATTTTCAGAAAATCTAGTTTTAGTATGCATACGTTCATGCTTACCATGTAGAAGGATTTTCTCACTTCCAATAAACTCAACAGGGTTATTTAGTCCATGTCTTCTCTTCTGGTTGATTAAACTTAAACTTGATTTCAAATTTTTTCTGTACAAGTCAAATGTATCATGATTTTGCACTAGAGGAAAATTTGTCTTGCTGAGATGTACAGTATTTCTAAATGCATTTTGTCCATTGCATTGCTGCATGCTCTTCAGAAATCTTTGGTTTGGAGAGTGCTCTTGCAGATGACTGTCAACTTTCCTGATTCCTAAGAAAGAACAGAATAATAAATTCTTCCTTAAGAATTGTATGAAATAAAAATGCTTATGAGATGATTTGCTGGGGGCTGGCTCTTTATTGTCAACTCTATGATCCCAGTATAAAAGGAAATTATGAAGATGTAAGATGAAATCAGTAAGAAACAGATCAAGAAAAGATTAAAAAAAGTCTTTAAAACTATAACATTTAAAAAGTTATCAGATGGGGAGATGAATATATAAAGTAGCTGCTTAGGTATCCTCAGATGTTTTACATCTGTGACACCTTTCCTTAATGACTAAAATAAGACTCCGATCGCCATTGTCCTTCCTGGTTTTCACTTACCTGGACAATTTTTATTCTGGATTTTAGCATCTGTTATCCATGGTTCTTGTCCATGTGCCACCTTGGATAGTGCATCTGGTTTGCTAGTTTGATACCCTGTTCATGAGGAAAGAAACACAAACATACTGAATCGGAGTCCAGTATGTCAAGATGGGAAAATAATATATTCAATTTCAAAGTAAGCATTCTCTCTTAGAAGAGATTATACCACTTTGGGTCAGAGAGGGGACTTGAAAATGTAACTCTTCCAAACACCATAGTGACTATAAAGCTTTGATTAGGTGAGCCTAGGACAGTGTCCGGGCATTGTAGGCACCTCTAGGTGACACAGGGGAACTATTCTTACCCAGTGCTACCAGGTGGTTATAGTTCTCCACCATCACATCCCGGTACAGGTCCTTCTGAGCAGTGTCCAGGAGCTGCCACTCCTCCCAGCTGAATTCCACAGCCACATCCTCCAGGGTCAGTGATTCCTGTAATTACAAAGTCCTATTTAATATGATATAAACTCCTATTTTTAATATGAAAGTATGAGATAATTTTTTTTTAATTTTCACAATACAGCCTGCATCTATATTCCTTTCTCAAATATACGTTGGAAGGGGCAAAATCCTCTATCTATATATTTTAGCACCTATTTCTAAATATTAAACAAAGGCAAATGACATCAAGACAAATAAAACATCCCTACATTACCAATGACTTCACAGCAAATAATGAGGATCTGACATGAATAGACTCCACATCTTGAATTAATAAAATACTACTTTTAAATAAATGTAAGAGAAAAAAAAAGAAACTATATATGTATAAAGCACAAAAGCCAGGTGCGGTGGCTCAAGCCTGTAATCCCAGCACTTTGGGAGGCCGAGGCGGGTGGATCACAAGGTCGAGAGATCGAGACCATCCTGGTCAACATAGTGAAACCCCGTCTCTACTAAAAATACAAAAAATTAGCTGGGCATGGTTGTGCGTGCCTGTAATCCCAGCTACTCAGGAGGCTGAGGCAGGAGAATTGCCTGAACCCAGGAGGCGGAGGTTGCAGTGAGCTGAGATTGCGCCATTGCACTCCAGCCTGGGTAACAAGAGCAAAACTCCGGCTCAAAAAAGAAAAAAAGCACAAAAGACCCTTCAAGTTGATTAGATTTTTATTTTTATATTTTTAATTTTTAAATAGACAGAGTCTTGCTCTGTAGCCCCAAATGGAGTGCAGTATCATGATAACAGCTCACTGAAACCTTGAACTCCTAGGTTCAAGTGACATTCCCACCTCAGCCTCTCAGGTAACTAGGACTACAGGTGGATGCTACTACCAATTTTTGTAGAGACAGGGATGTGTTATGTTGACCAGGCTGGTCTTGAAGTCCTGGCCTCAAGTGATCCTCCTGCTTCGGCCTTCCAAAGTGCTGGGATTACAGGTGTGCGCCACTGCCCCCAGCAAAAAAAAAAAAAAAACAAAAAAAACCCTCTAACAGAAAAACAGACATACGTAGGTGTATTAATGGATAGATTAACAGCATATTAGATACTTACGGTTTCTAAAAGGGAAAATACTGTAATAGAGAAGCAATATCTATTAATAAATATCTAAAAGCTAAAGTATTTCAGGACTGACTAAATACCTGAAATCTCAAATTCAGAAATCTCAACAAGTTTAGAGCAGGAACTCACAACTGGTGTGACATGTCAGACCGAAACTATCATACATCAAATGCAAAGGGAAAACTATAAAATCATCAAGAGACAAAAGACAGATTACCTAAAAAGAAATAACAAAATGCACTGATGGCTGACATTTCAATAATAGAATCCAGAAAAGATGGAATACTATCTTCGAAGTCTTGATTCTTGCAACAAAAAAGGCCAATTTTGGAAGGCCATTTGGGATTAAAACACATGGCTAGCAGATGACTTGCTGTCTTACAACCATGATATCAGGGACCTTTTTGTCAAGTAAACTTCCATTCTCCTGCTTCACAGTAACTTTTCAGACAACTGCAGTGTGTGAAGCAGAGGTAACTAAGATGCAAGGAAATATTGGTAAGATCATCTATCTTATACTACTGTGTGGGATGCTGCATAGTCAAGAAAGTAGACTCATGAAAGGGTGCAAGTGCTCAAGCCTGGTCAGCTTATCTCATTCTAAAATCTTTTTTTTTTTTTTTGAGACAGAGTTTCGCTCTTGTTACCCAGGTTGGAGTGCAATGGCGTGATCTCGGCTCACCTGCAACCTCCGCCTCCTGGGTTCAGGCAATTCTCCTGCCTCAGCCTCCTGAGTAGCTGGGATTACAGGCACGCGCCACCATGCCCAGCTAATTTTTTTTATTTTTAGTAGAGACGGGGTTTCACCATGTTGACCAGGATGGTCTCGATCTCTTGACCTTGTGATCCACCCACCTCGGCCCCTCAAAGTACTGGGATTACAGGTGTGAGCCACTGCACCCGGCCTCATTCTAAAATCTTTATGTGAGATGTCTATCAACTGGGTAAATGTAAAGTTAAATTTCTACCTCACTCTGTGGTCCAAAAGAATTTATTACTGGATGGAAATCTTGCAGGCCAACTCTAAGGTAGCCTCATAATCTTATTCTTTAGCTGCAGTGACTTCTGACATCAGCTACCTGGGTTAGGCCAAACTTAGCAGGTTAAAAATACAGTCCTCCACAAGATTGCCCTCACTTCAGACACAAGCTGCAAGCTTGAAGCTACACAGACCACCCTCAACTGCAACTAGCTGGCTACAAATGTATGGAGCTACCATGACTCCCTCAGGTTTAATAATTTGATAGAACAACTCAGACAACCCAAGAAAGTGCTGTATTTACAATCAGCACTTTACTACTGCCAAATGACACAAATCAGAATCAGCTAAAGGAAAATATGCACAGGGTGAGGTCTGGGAAAGTTCCAAACACCAAGCTGCTGACTGTCCCCTCCTCATGGAGTCCTGGGTGGCATAACATCTTCCTGACTACATCATGTAACAATATTTAAGAGTACTTGCCAACCAGCGACATGCACCCACATTTTGATGTCCAGAGTTTTTATTGAGACTTCATTATGTGGGCATGGTTTACTGAAAGCACTGCCCATGTAGCTGAGTTAAGTCTCCAGTTCCCTCCCCTTTCTGACTCAAAACCTAACTCTCTAATCACATAGTGCTCTTTTTGGCATGGGCAGCCCCTATCCAGTGTCATGTCATTGCCATAAATTATCTAGGGATCCACCGTGAGTCACCACTATATACATAGATATAAGCTATCAAATATGAGTGGCTCACCATGACTGATACAGACACTCGTACAACTTGGGTAATTACAAGGGTTTAGAGGTTAGCTCCCAAGAATGAAAGACAGAGGCTGGCCAAATTCTTTATTACACTCCAGGTATTCCTGCCCCTGTGCAGTACCATCCTCCTAAATATCAAGTGGTCTAATAGCTTGTTTCTAATTAAAAGAATACAGGAAAAGTGATGAGATGCCACTTTAAGATTACAGTCTATATGACTTCCATTTTGCTAGCAGAATCTGTCATTTTCTGGCTTTGATTAAACACTTTGGCATACAGGGGAGGTGCACGTGGCAAAAAACTAAAGATGGCCTTAGAAAGACAGGTAGAAACTGAGGAACTCGGTTGGGCGCGGTGGCTCAAGCCTGTAATCCCAGCACTGTGGGAGGCCGAGGCGGGTGGATCACGAGGTCAAGAGATCGAGACCAACCTGGTCAACATGGTAAAACCCCGTCTCTAATAAAAATACAAAAAATGCCGGGCGCGGTGGCTCAAGCCTGTAATCCCAGCACTTTGGGAGGCCGAGGCGGGTGGATCACGAGGTCAAGAGATCGAGACCATCCTGGTCAACATGGTGAAACCCCGTCTCTACTAAAAATACAAAAAATTAGCTGGGCATGGTGGCGCGTGCCTGTAATCCCAGCTACTCAGGAGGCTGAGGCAGGAGAATTGCCTGAACCCAGGGGGCGGAGGTTGCGGTGAGCCGAGATCACGCCATTGCACTCCAGCCTGGGTAACAAGAGTGAAACTCCGTCTCAAAAAAAAAAAAAAAAAAAAAATACAAAAAATTAGCTGGGCATGGTGGCGTGTGCCTATAATCCCAGCTACTCAGGAGGCTGAGGCAGGAGTATTGCCTGAACCCAGGAGGCGGAGGTTGCGGTGAGCCGAGATCACGCCATTGCACTCCAGCCTGGGTAACAAGAGCGAAACTCCATCTCAAAAAAACAAACAAACAAACAAACAAACAAAAACAGAAACTGAGGAACTCAACTGAACTGCCTCATTTCTTATTCTGGAAATGAATTCCACCCAACATCCACATAAGTGAGCTTAGATGTACACCTTTTCCCATTTTAGCCTTCAGATCAGATGCCAACCTGGCTAACACCTTGACTACAACCCCATAAGAGATTCTGAATCAAAACAGCCAGCTAAGTCATGCCCTTATGCCTGAGCCACAGAAAGTTTGAGTTTTTTTTTCAAGTGTTGTTTCAAGTCATTACATTTTGGAGTAATTTTTTAGGTACAATGAACATTGTACCTAAGAAACTAGACAACGAACACAAGATATATACTTAAGAGGAACTTATGACGCTAGGAGTGGGGCTGATAATCCCAGGACTTCTGGAAGATACTTTGAGCCCAGGAGTTGGAGACCAATCTTCAACATAGTGATACCCTGTCTCTACTCTCTACAAATAATAAAAAATTAGCTGGAGTGTGGTGGTAGATGCCTGTGGTCCCAGCTATTCAGGAGGATAAGGCAGGCAGACAATACTTGAGCCCAGGAGGCTGAAGCTGCAGTGAGCCATGACTGTGCTACTACTGTACTCCATCCTGGGGACGAGAGCATGTCCCTGTCTCAAAGAAAAAAAAAGGAATAAAAGAAAACATGTTCATAAGTAAAAAGCTTTAAAACAATGACTTCTGCATGGAAAAAATATTATGAACAAGCTAAAAAAGAAATAAGACTCTAGAAAAATATTTGCAACATATAAAAGAATCAATATCTGGTCAAGATAAACAATCATAAATCAGTAAGACCACAAAAAAATCAAATAAGCAAAAACTAAAGACAGTTTATCACATTACAAATAATCCAAAGAAGCAGCAAAGAGATGAGAAGGATCTGAATTTCACTGGTGAATGGGAAAATGCAAAATAAAATAGGGCAAAATAATAGTGGATCACCTAGATCATGGAAAATATGCAATTTGATAACACAGTAAGTGTTGGCAAGATTTGCAGCACTGAATGTTCTGTTTGTGCAGTTTTCCAACTAACAACCAATTCTCCAATTCTCTAAATATCAACTAGATGTCCAACAATTCAATTCAATTCTGACACTACCTGTGTCAGAGTCCACAGATTTAAGTGTTCAATCCCACAAGACTGCCTCCTCTTAAGATGGCAGTCATAAGTCCTGGGCTATCAGTGTTTCTGACTAACTGGCTATAAATTAGGGGCTCCCATAAGCCCCTCCTTAGGTTTGATGATTTACTAGAACAGCTCATAGAAGTCAGGAAACACTTTACTTATGGTTCCTAGATAATAATAAAGGATATAACTCAGGAACAGACAGAAGAAATGCATAGGGCAAGGGATGGAGGATGGCATGCCAAGCTTCCATTCCCCTGTGGGTGCAGCATCCTCCCAGCATCCTGGTATGTTCACCAACCTGGACCTTGTTCAAAAGAGTTTTTTTTTTTTTTTTTTTTTTGAGACGGAGTCTCGCTCTGTCACCAGGCTGGAGTGCAGTGGCACAGTCTCGGCTCACTGCAACCTCCACCTCTTGGGTTCAAGCAATTCTCCTGCCCTCAACCTCCCAAGGAGATGGGACTCCAGGCGTGTGCCACGATGCCTGGCTAATTTTTGTATTTTTAGTAGAGATGGGGTTTCACCATGTTGGCCAGGCTGGTCTCCATCTCTTGACCTCGTGATCCACCCGCCTCGGCCTCCCAAAGTGCTGGGATTACAGGCGTGAGCCACCACACCTGGCCTGTTCAAGAATTTTCATAGAACTTACTCTCTAGTCCATTCCTCCTTTCAGTTCCAATCCTCTAATTGCTTGGTCTTTCTGGGGCCTAGTCTCAGTCTCATCCTGACAGTATCTAGAAGTCCCACTATGAAATTCAGGCTTCTCATGAATAACAGAAAACACATCTATTCCTCAGGAAGAAATTCAAAGGGCTTTAGGCATACTGTGTCATGAACTGAGAACAATGACCAAATATATTTATTATACCACATTTACACATCCCTTTTTATATACCATACTGTGACAAAATAAATATACATTTGGTCTCTACCCCCGAAATCTTTGGGATTGCTGAAGTGACAGTGTCTTTTGTATGCTATTGAGATGACTAGTGGCTGGGGCTCTACCACGGCCTCAGGAAGGGAGCTGGTTGCCAGGGGAAACGACCTTGTGATCAGACAGTTGGAACTTACAGTCCTACTTCCCCAGTCAACCTCTGACCTCTGAGGAAGGGAGAGGTGATAGAAATTGAGCTGACCACCAATAGTTAATGAATTAATGAATTATACCTATGTAATGAATCTGTCACCATAACAATAAAAGGATGAGTTTGAGAGCTTTTAGGCTGCTGAACATATGGCAGTCCTGGGAGGGTAGAATACCCAGAGAGGGCATCGAAGCTCTGTGGCCTTTCCCCATTACCTGGCCCTATACATCTTTTCCAACTGTCCATTGCTGAATTGTACCCTTTCACAATACACCAGTAATCTAGTAAGTAAACTGTCTTCCTGCATTTTTTGAGCCTTCTAGCAGATGAACAAATCTGAGTAGGGGGTTGTGGGGACATCCAATTAGTAGCCAAGTCCAATAGAAGTTGTAAGTAACCTGGGGACCCAGCACTTTTCAGGGGGCAGTCTTGTGGGACTGAGCCCTCAACCTGTGGGGTCTGTCCTAAGTCCAGGCAATTAATGTGAGAATTGAGTAAATTTTAGAATACCTAATTGGTATTGAGAACAGAATTGATGTATGGGGAAAACCCCACATATCTGGTGTCAGAAACATTATCTGAGAATAGAGAGTAAAACTGTTGTTCCAGGCCAGGCGCGGTGGCTCAAGCCTGTAATCCCAGCACTTTGGGAGGCCGAGGCGGGTGGATCACGAGGTCCAGAGATCGAGACCATCCTGGTCAACATAGTGAAACCCTGTCTCTACTAAAAATACAAAAAACTAGCTGGGCATAGTGGCGCGTGCCTGTAATCCCAGCTACTCAGGAGGCTGAGGCAGGAGAATTGCCTGAGCCCAGGAGGCAGAGGTTGCGGTGAGCCGAGATCGGGCCATTGCACTCCAGCCTGGGTAACGAGAGTGAAACTCCGTCTCAAAAAACAAAACAAAATAAAACAAAAAAACTTGGCCGGGCGCGGTGGCTCAAGCCTTTAATCCCAGCACTTTGGGAGGCCGAGGCGGGTGGATCACGAGGTCGAGAGATCGAGACCATCCTGGTCAACATGGTGAAACCCCGTCTCTACTAAAAATACAAAAATTAGCTGGGCATGGTGGCGCGTGCCTGTAATCCCAGCTACTCAGGAGGCTGAGGCAGGAGAATTGCCTGAACCCAGGAGGCGGAGGTTGCGGTGAGCCGAGATCGCGCCATTGCACTCCAGCCTGGGTAACAAGAGCGAAACTCCGTCTCAAAAAAAAAAAAAAAACAAAACAAAAAAAAAAACAAAAAAAAAAAAAAAAAAAAAACTGTTGTTCCTGTACATAGATACTCTTCTAAATTACGTTATACAGATTAACTCATTTTATGCCCTTACTATGTAGGTGCCATATCATCCTTTTTACAGATGAGAAAACTGAGGTGCATAATGGCTAAATGAAGTATGTGAGGTCACACATCTGGCAACTGACTCCACAGTCAACATTTCTGGCCTTATGCTACACTGACCATAAAGTGTAATGTCCATTTTGACAGCAACTCAAAGTATGCACTAAATGACTACACCCTAAATTGATTTATTTGTAACCATCCTCAAGTAATACTGATATAATTTCACAAAAAAGCCATTAACATGACCATGTAACCTTGTTCAGTCATGTAGTTTATAACAATATGCCTAAATATTCACGAACAGGTGAACTGCTAAACTATCACACAGACATCATTATTTGGAGTTCATTGCATTAGGTTAAAAGAAAAAAAAAAAAAAAACCTTGGCTGGCAGGCACTACCATGCAAAGAATGCCAATATATTGAAAATGGTCTGGAGGATGTATTTTTGTTTTTTTTTTTTTTTTGAGACAGAGTTTCGCTCTTGTTACCCAGGCTGGAGTGCAACGGCGCGATCTCGGCTCACCGCAACCTCCGCCTCCTGGGCTCGGGCAATTCTCCTGCCTCAGCCTCCTGAGTAGCTGGGATTACAGACACGCGCCACCACGCCCAGCTAATTTTTTGTATTTTTAGTAGAGACGGGGTTTCACCATGTTGACCAGGATGGTCTCGATCTCTCGACCTTGTGATCCACCCGCCTCGGCCTCCCAAAGTGCTGGGATTACAGGCTTGAGCCACCGCGCCCGGCTGGAGGATGTATTTTAAAATGACAACCATAGTTCATTCTCGAGAGGTGATTCATGTATCACTGTAATGGTCAAAGAGTTGAACTATAAATAAAGCTTGCATTCTTTCATACTGAGTCTACTTTTTTTTTTTTCCTTTTTTTTGAGACAGGGTCTCACTTTGTCACCCAAATTCAAGTGCAGTGGTGCAAACATGGCTCACTGTAGCTTCATCCTCCCAAGCTCTAGCAATTCTCCCACCTCAGCCTCCCGAGTAGCTGGGACTATGGGTGTTCACCACCACACCCAGCTAATTTGTGTATTTTTTATAGAGACAGGGTTTCACCATATTGCCCAGGCTGGTCTTGAACTCCTGAGCTCAAGCGATCCAGAAGCTACTTCATAAGGCAGAATGAACCCCCGCCTCTACTCCCAAAAGCAGTCTAAGTTAATTTCTCCCTGGTACATAATTATCCCAGTATATACTTCCTTAAGTTCAACTGACTCTTTCAGGCCACCATAAATCTATCAAAAAAAAAAAAAAAAAAAAGGGGGGCGGGGAAATATAACAAACCAAAAATCACCTGGGTCTTGATCATTTTCTTCTGTGCTCAGAAAATAGTAGATAACATGGACTATACGTCTTTGTCTCTTCTGCATTTACCGTGAAGTTTTCCTAGTCAGAAATATTGGTGTCCACTTAAAGTTGTCCCTAGAAATGATATCCAAGGCCAGCAACCTCCTTCTTTCTTCATTGCATCACTTGAGCTGTCTTGCGTCTGGGAGCCAGGACCTAAGGGCTGATAAGCAAAATGGCTTTAAGTGTACATTCACCCTGGGTCCAGATGTCACTGCTGCTCTGTACTTAACTTAAATAAAAGACCCTAATATTTACAGTTCCTTTATTTGGTGCCTTAGGGGTTTATACACCTAGAGCAATAACACAGGGTTCTAAGTGTATGAAAGCTATGACTTTCTTTTGTGAGGCAGAAGTGGCGTGACTATTATAGAGAAGGTGGGAAAGCAGAACCAACACAGCACAATGCCTCGGAAGCAGAGGAATTCTCAGGCAGATCAATGTTAGGAAAGAGAACACATGGAAGACTCCAAGGATGTTTTTAAAATACATGTGTGCTCATGTACTGCTTCAAAAGTCTCTGTATGCTCTATGGGTATACATATCTCAGTGTCAAGACCAGCGTACTAAACAAATCATAAGAACTATCTCATTTCACATTATGCGCTAAAGAATTAACTTTACCCAAGAGAGGTTTGTCCTTTGCCCACAGTTCCAATGAGGCAAACTCTAAGCCTTCAGAATACGCTGCTTGATAAAATTGTCTTTGGTTATCAGGGCAATCTGAGCCTTGACAAATTGTCTACCCTAATAATGTGACTTACTGTGGGAGACCTTGGACCACACGGTATTAGTTTGATATCTGAAGGGGCTGGAGAGTGAAGTCAGCCACAAGGGAAGTCAATTGTGTGTATGTTAACTGATACCCAATAAAAACTCTGAATACCAAGGCCTAGATGAGTGGCAACAATGGTTGCAATGGCTGGCAATAATATAAGCGTGTAGATATAAGGACATGACATATGAAGCAAAACAGAATTAGAGAGGATTAGACAATTCCACAATAATAATTGAAAACTTTATTACCTTACAATAATAAGGAAAACAAACAGAAACTCAGCATGGATACTGAAAACTTGAACAAGCTAATCAATCAACTAGACTTAACTGATATTTAACACTACACTCAACAGCAGTAAAATAAACATTTTTTTCAAGAGTATGTGTTATATTCTAAAGGAAAGACCATATGCTGGGATATAAAACAAGTGTCAATAAATTCTAAATATATTTTCCAACCACAATTTAATTAGAAATCAACTTCAGAATGAAATTTAGAAAATGTCCAAATATTTGGAAATAAAATAGCACAGTTCTGAATAACCATGGTTAAAAAGAAAATCATGAGCCAGGTACAGTGGCTCACACCTGTAATCCCAGCACTTTGGGAGGCTGAGATGGGTGGATCATTTGAGGCCAGGAATTCCAAACCAGCCTGGCCAACATGATGAAACCCCTTGTCTACAAAAAGTATAAAAAATCAGCCAGGCATGGTAACGCATGACTGTAATCTCAGCTATTCAAGATGCCAAAGTGGAAGAATCACTTGAACTCAGGAGGTGGGAGCAGAGCCTGCACCACTGCACTCCAACAAGGACCAGAGCAAGACCCTGTCTCAAAAACGAAACAAAACAAAACAAAAACAAAAAGAAATAAAGTGAGAGAAGAAAAAGAAAAGCACACAGGAAATCGGACAATATTTTGAACTGATGGGAAGCAAAAACACAACATCAACATTAATTAGCTGTCTCTACAGTTCTTTAAAAAAAACAAAAACAAAAACAAAAAAACAAAACTTTAAATCAGAAAAAAAAAACCTGTATCAGAAAAGAAAAGAAAAAAAACCCCTCGAATCATTACTCAATGTACAAACTGAAAAACTAGAAAACGAGGAGCAATTAAAACACAAAGCAATTTGACCAAAAAAATAAAGAGGAAAGTGGAAATCAGTGGGAAAAAAACAAACACTTTTTTTTTTTTTTAAAAAGCAAGAATACAAAAAGGGACTGAAAAAAATCAATAAAATTAATACCCAGTAACTAGGTTGATCAAGAACAAAAGATACAAGTTACCTTGTGTCTAAAGAAAGGCATAGCTTTCATACATTTAGAACCTTGTTTTATTGCCCCAGGATGTAAAAGCCTCCGAGGCACCAAATAAAGGAAGAAGTATCAGGGTCCTTTATTGTTAGAAATATTAGGGTCCTTTAAGATAAGTGCACAGCAGCAGTGACAGTCAGGAATGTAAGATGTGACATTATTACTGCTGACTCTACAAAATGTACATTGTTACTGCTGACTCTACAAAAATGAAACAGCTCATGAAGTGACTTCATGAACAATTTTATGTCACCGATCTGTCTCCATAAGAGAAGATAAGGACTGCCAGGACGGACTTGAACTTGATGGAGGTTAAGTGGATTCGAGCAGGAGAAATGCAGCCTTCAGGGCTGTCCCCGCATTCGAGGTTTCAACCAATTAACAAGGGGCCCTGGACCTGCTCACATATTGACAGTCCCTACCAGGGTTCTCCGTGTCTCAGCCCCATATTAAATCTCATACAAAACCCCAAACACGTCTAGGAAACCGAAGGGACACATCCCCAACCCGGACATGTCTCAGGCTAATGCCCCACATTAAATCGCGACCCTGAACGAGGCTCCGGAGTTCATGGCTACAAACGCAATCACTGAGCCCCATAAACCGAGTGGCTCACCAGGACCGCAAATCCAGACAGAGTCGGACTTGTCGCTGATGTCCTCAGACTCGAGACCCTGAACTAGGCCCCCGCGTGCACGGGTACAAACTTCTCCAGTTCCCAATCACTGAACCCCACAAGCCGAGTGACTCACAGGGAACCCCCAAACCCAGACGTGTGGGGAACATTCCCGTGTGAGACCCCGAAAAGGCGTGAGTCTCACTACACGGTGAGTTTGATCCCAAACACAGTTTCCTACTGGAGGCAGTCGCGCTGTCGGAAAAAAAGAAACTGAAAGATGGATGATCAGTTTCTAGTATCAACCACGATATCGTTTGGGCCTAAACTATGCAGTGCTGCTAGACCGAGTGACTCCCTACCAGCAACCAGTTCCAGCAACCAGTTTCTGCTTTTTTTTTTTTTTTTTTTTTTTTTTTGAGACGGAGTTTCGCTCTCGTTACCCAGGCTGGAGTGCAATGGCGCGATCTCGGCTCACCGCAACCTCCGCCTCCTGGGTTCAGGCAATTCTCCTGCCTCAGCCTCCTGAGTAGCTGGGATTACAGGCACGCGCCACCATGCCCAGCTAATTTTTTGCACTTTTAGTAGAGACGGGGTTTCACCATGTTGACCGGGATGGTCTCGATCTGTCGACCTCGTGATCCACCCGCCTCGGCCTCCCAAAGTGCTGGGATTACAGGCTTGAGCCACCGCGCCCGGCCCCGGGACCCTCTTCCAGGTCGAGAGACCCCCGGCAGACGTGCCGTCCCGGACCGGTCCCCGGACACAGACAGAGCCGGAGTCATGGCTGATTTCCTCAGACCTCTCCTCATCCCTACAGCCAAAGGCCGGTCATTAACGCCCGGCTTCCGGCTTCCTCGGCGACCGCGTTCAAACACGGCCCCGGCCACGATGCTCCACGCACCACCGGGTACACAGACACACAGGCCGCGAGTCCCTGCCCAGAACCCGACTCACCCGAGCCCGAACCTCTCCCGCCACCACTGGCGGCCGACGAAAAGCCGCATCCAAGTCCGAAACCTTTTCCTATTCAGACGCGCTCCCGAGGCGGCCTACGGGACGCTTGGCGGGGTCGACGTCGCAGTGAGGCGAGGACCACGGAGCCTGCCCGAGATCTCGCGTTCAGACTGCGGGTGCCGCGCTATGAGGTCACACGGCTGCGCCCGTCGCCGCGTTTCTGACAGGAGCGGCCTAATTGGCTGTGGAAATCACTCTCGGCCACCTCAGTGCCTTTCTGTCTGCGTTGCAAGGGACATTCAGCAGCGCTGGGCTAACCACGCAAGCTTTAAGAGTCGGGTGCCCAGCCAAGGCCAAGGCGGCGCAGTGGCATTCTATTCAGTCGGCTGGGGGGTGGGGAAAAGATGGCGGCGCCCTTTGTGCCCGTCATAGCTGAGACCGGAGCCTTAGCTGGAGCACCATGGGCGCGGCCATCTTAGAGGAAGGCAGCGGCCGTACGACCGAGAAGATGCTCAGAACCACGACAATTGGGAAAAATAATAAACAAGGTGTGAAGAAGCCACGGTACTGGGCAGCAAGCGGTCACAGACTTGCCGGAACCAGTGGTCACTGAAAGTGTTAGATTTGGGGACAGGGCGGGGTTTGTGGACTAGGTAAGGCTTTTGTAGGTTAATTAGACTCTGACTAAATGGACGAAGCCGAGAAGAGGAGAGTGATGCTCCGTTAAATACTAATACCCACATGGGGCTTGCTACAAAACTGCTGCCATTGGGGAAGGGGATGAGGTGAAGGTGCCAGTGTATTAATATTATCTACATGTTTCCTTCCACAAGTAAAGGAAGATGCCAATGGAACACTTAAGAATATGAAATTGCTGGGCGCGGTGGCTCATGCCTGTAATCCTAGCACTTTGGGAGGCCGAGGTGGGTGGATCACCTGAGGTCAGGAGTTCAAGACCAGCCTGGCCATCATGGTGAAACCCCATCTTAAAAAAAAAAAAAAAAAAAAAAAGAATATGAAATTATTAGAATGCGATCACCCTACTTTACATAGTTTCTAGATTTTTTTTAAAATGTTAGTTTTATTTTTGCAGATGTTGGTGTTGTTACTGTAGAAGATTTAAGTAAATATTCTCTTTTTGGAAGGCAACCTTCGTTTTCTTTGACACAGCAATTCTAAAAGTTAATTTGGTAAAAAGGTGTCTTAATATTGACCACAACTTTTGTAATTTACAAAAAATAGAGGAATTACAATGAGAGATGAATACTTTGGTAAATTATGGAACATCCGCTTTCAACTGTAACAGTACATATCAATGTAAAAGAATATACTACAATTGTTTTATAAATAAGAAAAGGTAACTATATTCTTCAGAGGACAAAAAAATGATCTGCAGGATAGTATATATATTATAGTCTTGTTATTAGAAGAAATTATAAACAACATCTTTTGGAAATTGTGATCAGTTAAACAAGACATTTAGTTTGAATTAATAGTTTGTGCTCATAGGTACAGAATGCCATGTTTTTGCACCTGCTTTTTTTTTTTTTTGAGATGGAGTCTCGCTTGGTCACCAGGCTGGAGTGCAGTGGCGAAATCTCGGCTCACTGCAACCTCCGCTTCCCAGGTTCAAGCGATTCTCCTTCCTCAGCCTCCCAAGTAGCTGGAACTACAGGCATGTGCCACCACGCCCAGCTAATTTTTGTATTTTTACTAGAGATGGGTTTTCACCATGTTGACCAGGATGGTGTTGATCACCTGACGTCGTGATCCGCTGGCCTCTGCTTCTCAAAGTGTTGGGATTACAGGCGTGAGCCACTGCGCATGGCCTGCACTTCTTAATTTTACTATCTTTATATCATAATCATGAATATCTATATTATAAAAGATGTTGATCTTAGAAAAAAATTAGGTATGATGATGTATAAGTTCATGGTATAAATAAATGCAAAATAGGCTGTTTACTTTCAGAAAATAAATATACTAATGCATTTGAAAAATTCTGGAGAACATACTAACAATATTTGACTCTTCCATACAATTATGGTGACTTAAAATTTCTTCATTTTATTTGTTTGTAATTTCTAAAGAATAAGAATTTCATGTTTGTATAATTTCTCGAGGGTTATAACATATTCCATCCAGGCTTAAATTTCAGCCTCATTTATCTAGAATGTTAATCTCTGTAGGAATGTCAGTATCTGGTAGGTAAGTTTAGCACCTGGTCCACAGGACTGTGAGCAGCCCATGATGGGACCCTCACTGATCATTTTCAGGAGTGGGCTAATAGTCTTTGCCATGGCAAGCTATGCCAACTCACAGGACAAGGAAGGTGATTCAAGGGGCTTGCAAACTTCTTTTATAAGCTTCTCAGAGAATGCTGAGGTAGGAACCCCAAAGAAAACACTTAGAAAGTTCTGTGTGGGCCAGGTGCAGTGGCTGACGCCTGTAATCTTAACACTTTGGGAGGCCAAGGCGGGTGGATTGCCTGAGCTCAGGAGTTTGAGGCTGGCCTGGGCAACATGATGAAACCCTATTTCTACTAAAATACAAAAATATTAGTCAGGCATTCGTGGCACGTTTCTGTAATCCCAGCTACTGGGGAGGCTGAGGTAGGAGAATTGCTTGAACCCGGGAGGCAGAGGTTGCAGTGAGCCAAGATCATGTCATTGCACTCCAGCCTGGGCAACAGAGCAAGACTGTCTCCATTTAAAAAAAGTTTTGTAGTGTTCTGGACTTACAAATATGGTGGCTGTTTCCCCATAGTACACTTGGGCCTCAGTTCAAATTACATCTGCAGCCGGGCATGGTGGCCCACACCTGTAATCCCAGCACTTTGAGAGGCCAAGGCAGGCAGATTACCTGAGGCCAGGAGTTTGAGACCAGCCTGGCTAACATGGCAAAACCCCATCTCTACTAAAAATATAAAAATTAGCCAGGTGTGGTGGTGGGTGCCTGTAATCCCAGCTACTCAGGAGGCTGAGACAGGGAGAATCACTTGAACTGGGGAGGCAGAGGTTGCAGTGAGCCAAGATCCAGCCATTGCACTCCAGCCTGGGCAACAGAGTAAAAAAAAAAAAAAAAAAAAAAAAATTACATCTGCACAGAAAAGCCTTCCCTGAAAACTCTAATTAAAATAACTCTTTGATTACCATTTATGAACTTACTAGGCTTTATATTTCTTCTTCGCACTTACCTGAATTCAGTTTTGTATTTATCTTACTCAGTCTCCTTCACCAGACTGTATGCCGTATCAAAGCCATCACTTTAGCCGGTTTTGTTCATTGATGTGTCTCCATTGTCTACAACATGCCTGCCATAGTGTAGAAGCTCAAAAAATATTTTCAAAGGAGTGAATTACTCAATATGAAGTCAGGTATTGAATTCTGCCACAATACTTTATGGCAAATGTCCATTTCTTTTATAAAGAGAATCCACCATTTATAAACTGGATTAAATCTCCACATTAGATCAAGGGAAATAACTCTGGATAGAGAAAACAAGAATGCTGTTTCTAGGGAAATTAGTAAATTTTTGCCAGCAGGCCTGCTTACGGAGAAATGATTAAGGAAGTTCACATAAAAAGGAAATAACCAAAGGAAAACAACATCAGAAATGAAGAAAAAGGAACAGAGGGGTAAAATACATTCTTCGGAGTTTTAAAAATTATGCTTGCTGGTTAGAAGCAACAGTTACAATTTTTACTTGATATGGTTCTCAGTGGATGTAGAGATGCTGAATGTCATTTTCTGTTAGGGATATGTAAATTGAGGCCATGATCCCATACTACCACATACCTAATAGGAAAGCTAGCACATTGGCAGTGCCAAGAGCTAGAAAGGGCATGGAACAAATGGAATGCTCACACATTGGTGGTGGGAATGTAAATGAGTACAGCCACTCTGGCAAAGAGTTTGGCTGTTTCTTTCAAAGTATAACACAAACTTACATATTCATTAGCAGTCATGCCCCAGCTGTCTATCCCAAATATATAAAAAACTTACGTTCACACAGTTATCGGGTACACAAATAGTCACAGCATCTTTATTTATAACAGCAAAACACTGGAAACAACCCAAATGTCCATCAACACTGAATAGATACACAAATCCCAGTGCATCCATTTAAAAGAATATTAACTCAGTAACAAAAATTAAAACTAGACACCCAGTAACTTGGATGGATCTTAAGGGTAATTTGCTGAGTGAACAAAACCCTATCTCAAAGGTTGCATACCTTACGATTCCATTTTAATAGCATTCTTGAAATAACAAAATTAAGAGTGATGGGATCAGTGGTTACTGTGGGTCAGGCATCCCCAAACTACGGCCCACGGGCCGCATGCGGCCCCCTGAGGCCATTTATCCGGCCCCCCGCCGCACTTCAGGAAGGGGCACCTCTTTCACTAGTGGTCAGTGAGAGGAGCACAGTATGTGGCGGCCCTCCAACCGTCTGAGGGACAGCGAACTGGCCCCCTGTGTAAAAAGTTTGGGGACGCCTGCTGTGGGTTATGTTGGGAGGACAGTGTGAGTATAAAGAGGTAGCAAAAGGAGGCGGGGCACAGTGGCTCACACCTGTAATCCCAGCACTTTGGGGGGCAGAAGTGGGTGGTTCTCCCAAGGTTAGTTCAATCAGCCTGAACAACATGGTGAAATCCCATCTTTACTATAAAAATACAAAAATTAGTTGGGTGTGGCGGCAGGCACCTATAATCTGAACTACTTGGGAGGCCAAGGGAGGAGAATCACTTGAACCTGAGAGGCAAAGGTTGCCATTAGCCGAGATTGTAGTCTTCCACTCCAGCCTGGGCAACAAGAGCAAAACTCTGTCTCAAAAAAAAATGGGAGGTAGCAAGAGGATGTTTCTTTCTGTTGGCACAACAGTTCCACATCCTGATTGTGGTAGGATTTACATAAATCTATACATCTTATAGAATTTCTTAGACCTCTACACAAAAATAAATAAAACCACAATTACTGCATGCATGAAGGAGTAAAGTCCAAATAAAGGCTGTACTTTGACAGCATTGTGCTAATGTCATTTTATTGGTTTTGATTATTATGGTTATGTAAGGTAATATTGATGATGGTAAGCAAAGGATACTCAGGAAACTTGTATATTTGTAATCTCTTGTGAATCTAAAATCACTTCAAAACAAATTTTAGGAAAATAATATTTATGACATTTTTGCAAACTACATAATGGTACCTACTAACTTGGATAAACACATTCCAAATATACTGAACTACATTTATGAATAGACTCAGAAAACAATTTAAGGCCTACAATATGTAAGAGAAATCATACTAGGTTGACACAGAAAACAGCCTGTGTTGTATAAAGCATTAAAATTTAATCAACGATAAGAACAGCCCACTGTACAATTATGGAATCGTTGATAATTATGATGCAAGGTATGTTGTCCCAGAAAAGACATCAAGTGTATTTGGAGTTTAGGTTTGTGACAGAAAGCCCTCAAATATGTATCATTTTCATGAGGCTTTTTCAATTCATAAATTTCGTGATCCTTTTTATTCTTCACATAAGTTTTATTTCTTTTTTTTTTTTTTTTTGAGACGGAGTTTCGCTCTTGTTACCCAGGCTGGAGTGCAATGGCACGATCTCGGCTCACTGCAACCTCCGCCTCCCGGGTTCAGGCAATTCTCCTGCCTCGACCTCCCGAGTAGCTGGGATTACAGGCACGTGCCACCATGCCCAGCTAATTTTTTTTTGTATTTTTAGCAGAGATGGGGTTTCACCATGTTGACCAGGACGGTCTCGATCTCTTGACCTTGTGATCCACCCACCTTGGCCTCCCAAAGTGCTGGGATTACAGGCTTGAGCCACCGCGCCCGGCCTATTCTTCACATAAGTTTTATTTCTGCATGAAGTGATGATGAGGCAGAATGTATCACTGAAATCCTACTGTATTCACTGCCATCTGAATTTTTTTCTCCAGTTTGAAATATATCTGCCAGCTGTTAAGGTTTTATTTCTGGGCAAAGGCTTTTCCATGATAGTGCTGCTACTATGTGTAAATTCACTGATGATTTAATTTATTATGATCACTGATGACATAGGGTCTTTCTTCACATAGAAGGCTTTGCTAGCCTCCCCCTTTGTAAGATTTATCACAGTAAATACTTTTCAAGACAGTTACTTAGAAAATTGTCAAGACTTTTCTGCATTGGATATGTCAAGTTTATTTCCTACGTTTATTGTGACATACAATATGAGGTAATTAATCACTTAAGGCACTAGTGCACTCTCTGTGTCATGAAAATTCACTCCTGCAAATTGCATAATCTTCCAAGGGAGAAAATCTGGCAACAGGCTGCTCTACACTGCCTACATATACTGTATGCTAGGAACACACTGATGTTTAATCCGTTCACATTACTAACATGGTTTTCCCTCTGCATGAGTTTGCTTGTATGTAATCAGTTCAGTTCTCTGCAAAAGGACTATTTACCTTATACATTTCTCTTGTGCACGTTTTTATAATTTTAATGAAGATTGACAAATGAAAGTCTCCACAGAATCTCTCTCAGATGAGTTATTTTATATACACTGGTACATCAAAGAATTCAGAGCCTGAATTCATGTTGAAGGCTTTCTGACATTGATAGCATTCATCCTAGTAGATAACACTGGATTTTTAAATATGATTTTTTATACGTGGTACACATAAAGAAAATCTATACTGTGAAATCTCTGATGTTGTACAAGACATATTAGCTTCCCAAAGGCATGACCATGTCCATTGCATTGTTAGGGTTTGTTTCCATTATGAGTTCGCTGATGTACAATGAGATTTCTCTTTGAGGAGAAGGCTTTTCTACATTCACTGCATACAAAAGGTTTCTCTCCTGTATGAGTTCGTTGATGAACAATTAGACGGCTCTTCACAGTAAAGCCTTTACCACATTCATTGCATCCATAAGGTTTTTCTCCAGTATGAACTTGCTTATGTAAAGCAAGCTCAGTTTCCATGGCAAAGCCTTTTCCACATTCACTACATATACAAGACTTCTCTCCTGCATGAATTTGCTGATGTACAATGAGATAGCGTTTCATGGTGAAGCCTTTTCCACATTCACTGCACAAAAAGGGTTTCTCTCCAGTATGAGTTCGCTGGTGTACAACAAGATTGCTCTTAAAGGCAAAACCTTTTCCACATTCACTGCATATGTAGGGTTTCTCTCCAGTATGAGTTCGCTGATGTAACATCAGTCCACTATTCACAATGAAACCTTTCCCACATTCACTGCACCTGTAAGGTTTCTCTCCAGTATGAGTTCGCTGATGTACAATCAGCCGACTCTTCAAGGGGAAGCCTTTCCCACATTCACTGCATATGTAGGGCTTCTCTCCAGTATGAGTTCGCTGATGTATTATGAGCATGCTTTTCACAGTAAAACCTTTTCCACATTCACTACATAGATATGATTTCTCTACTGTATGATTTCTCTGATGTACAATGAGATTACTCTTCCTGGGAAAGGCTTTTCCACATTCGTTGCATACATAGGGTTTCTCTCCTGTATGAGTTCGTTGATGCTCAATCATACGGCTCTTCATGGTGAAGCCCTTCCCACATTCATTGCATATATACGGTTTCTCTCCTGTATGATTTCGCTGATGTATGATGACATAGTGCTTTGTGGTAAAGCCTTTCCCACATTCACTACAAATGTAGGGTTTCTCTCCTGTATGAGTTCGTTGATGTATGATAAGCATGCTCTTCCCAGTGAAGCCTTTTCCACATTCACTACATACATAGGATTTCTCTCCAGTATGATTTCGCTGATGTACAATGAGATTACGCTTGCCTGGGAAGCCTTTTCCACATTCATTGCATACATAGGGTTTCTCTCCAGTATGGGTTCGCTGATGTTCAATCAGACGACTCTTCATGGTGAAGACTTTTCCACATTCACTGCATATAAAAGATTTCTCTCTTTTATGAATTCTTTGATGTTCATTTAGCCTGGACTTTCTGGAGAACACTTTTGCACACAAAGTACATCCGTAAGGTTTTTCTCCAGTATGAACTCTCTCATGATCAGTGAGCTGAGACTTCTTGACAAACGCTTTCCCACATTCACTGCATATGTGGGTTTTCTCTATTTCTTGAGTTCTTTGATGCTTACTGACTTGGGATTTGGTGCTACTGGATTTTGTACTTACAGAGAATTTAGCTGCAGAATGAAGTTCTTCATACTTACCATGAAGAAATGATTTCCCATCTCCATTAAATTTATTAGAGTTCTTAATTTCACAGCTTTTGTTCTGATTGACTAAACTTAAATTTGATTTCAAAGTTTTTATATAGAACTCAAATGTATCATGATTTTCCCTGAAAAGACAATGGCTTTTGGTTTGAGAGGCAGTATTTCCAAATGCATTATGTTTATGGTGGTGTTCCACACTCTTCAGCATCCTTTGATTTTCCAAGTGATCCTGAAGATGTTGACCAACTTTGTTATTTTCTGGGAAAGAAGAGAACAATGAATCCTTTCATATCTTGTTGGGGACAAAAGTGTTTTCTTTTTAAAAAAAAATCCTTGGTGTGTTTATTTTATTATTTATTTATTTATATTTTTTTGAGACGGAGTCTTACGCTGTTACCCAGGCTGGAGTGCAGTGGCATGATCTCAGCTCACTGTAACCTCTGCCTCCTAGGTTCAAGCAATTCTCCTGCCTCAGCCTCCAGAGTAGCTGAGATTACAGGTGTATGCCATCATGCCCAGCTAATTTTTGTGTCTTTAGTAGAGGCAGGGTTTCACTATGTTAGCCAGGCTGGTCTTGAACTCCTAACCTTAGGTGATCCTTCCACCTTAGCCTCTCAAAGTGCTGGGATTACAGGCATGAGCCACTGCACCTGGCCAGGTGTTTTTAAATATGGCTCTTTAATGACAATACTATGATAACAGTAGAAAGCAACTTCATATATACCCTTTGGTAAAGACATAATAAACAAACCAAAAAGTAAAAGCAGTCTGTGTGCAAATAAGGTTAGGCAGTTGATAATCTGTATAGATTTGACAGCTTTCTAAAGAGGAACTTGCAAAACATGCAGACATAGTAAAATACAAGCAAGTCATTATTATTATTACTTGAGACAAAATCTTGCTCTTGTCATCCAGGCTAGAGTGCAATGGTGCAATCTCAGCTCACTGCAACCTCCACCTCCTGGGTTCAAGTGATTATCCTGCCTCAACCTCCCAAGTAGCTGGAATTACAGGTACCTATCACCACGCCTGGCTAATTTTTGTATTTTTTTTTTTTTTTTTTTTTTTTGAGACGGAGTTTCGCTCTTGTTACCCAGGCTGGAGTGCAATGGCGCGGTCTCGGCTCACCGCAACCTCCTCCTCCTGGGTTCAGGCAATTCTCCTGCCTCAGCCTCCTGAGTAGCTGGGATTACAGGCACGCTCCACCATGCCCAGCTAATTTTTCGTATCTTTAGTAGAGACGGGGTTTCACCAGGTTGACCAGGATGGTCTCGATCTCTTGACCTCGTGATCCACCCGCCTCAGCCTCCCAAAGTGCTGGGATTACAGGCTTGAGCCACCACGCCCGGCCAATTTTTGTATTTTTAGTAGAGATGAGGTTTCCCCATGTTGGCCAGGCTGGTCTCAAACTCCTGAACTCAGGAAATCCACCTGCCTTGGCCTCCCAAAGTGCTGAGATTACAGGCGTGAGCCACCATGCCCAGCCTCAAGCAAGTCATTATGACAAGCAAACAACAGGGCTTGGGGGAACACCATTCCATAAAATTTGGGGAGACACCAGACCACAAAGGTGGAAAAGGCAACTGATCCAAAATGCTGAGGGTTGTATTTATTCACTCCACTAGTATTTGTTGAATGATACCTATAGACAAGGTACTCTGCTGGCATTTGAGATTTATAAAATAAAATATGCCTTATTCTCACTGATGTTGAATTCTAGTTAGGAAAAACTGAATAAACAAGAAGAAACAAAAAAAAAAAAAAAGGAAGTTGGAGATATTAAGTGTGGTTTGAAGGAGCAGTGTAGATGGTGAGAGGTGGAAGAAAGCAGGATATATTCGTATAAAAAAAGAAGGTTAAAGGATTAATTCAGTGGGGAGAGTGGTTAAGGAAAGTGAGGACTCAAAGATTACTAACTATATGGCTTGAGCCACTTTGAAATGGTTATCAAATATGTAACACAGACATCAGCAATCTGGCTGGAGGTATAAATGAAGAAAGCAGTGTGGAAATAATCAGTACATATGTATTAGTTGAGAAAAAAGGGCTGAATTACTTTTTTATTTTTTGAGACAAGTTCTCACTGTCACCCAGGCTGGCATGCAGTGGCACAATCTTGCCTCACTGCAACCTCCACCTCCCAGGCTCAAGGGATTCTCCCACCTCAGCTTCCTGAGTAGCTGGGACTACAGGAGCATACTAACATGCGCAACTGATTTTTTTTTTTTTTTTTTTTGAGACTGAGCATCACTCTTGTTACCCAGGCTGGAGTGCAATGGTGTGATCTCAGCTCACCGCAACCCCCGCCTCCTGGGTTCAGGCAATTCTCCTGCCTCAGCCTCCTGAGTAGCTGGGATTACAGGCACGTGCCACCATGCCCAACTAATTTTTTTGTATTTTTAGTAGAGACGGGGTTTCACCATGTTGGCCAGGATGGTCTCGATCTCTTGACCTCGTGATCCACCTGCCTCGGCCTCCCAAAGTGCTGGGATTACAGGCGTGAGCCACCACACCCGGCTCAACTGGTTTTTTGTATTTTTTTGTAGAGATGGGGTCTTGCCATGTTGCCCAAGCTGGTCTTGAACTCTTGGGCTCAAGTGATCTGCCCACTTTGGCTTCCTAAAGTGCTGGAACTATAGGTGTGAGCACTGGGCCAGGATACTATGTTGAGAAGACACGTAGAATAAAGGATGAATGTACAGAACTAAGGTTTTCGACATTCCAACATGTAGTTTTGTGTGGGTAACCTCCCATATGGGCACCAAAGAAGGAGAGCTGTGTAGATCCCAGGCACAATTAGTGCCTGAAGTATAACTTACTACTTACTTATATCTAGCTTATATATATAATCATACTTAGTTCCATATAATCTTATATCTAGCTTATATAATCATACTTAGCTTCATATTATCTTAGATCTAGCATATATATATATAAAATCATACTTAGGTCCATACAATCTTTGTATATAATCATATAACGGATGTAGTAGAAACTGTACAGATACATTTAGTGCTGATTTATATAATCCTTCTATATAACTATATAGTAGTTTGTAGTAGGAGGAATGCCTAGAGCAGTCACAGAGCAGAAGCAAGTACATGGGAAAAACAGTCAGACCAGGACAAGAACCAATGACCCAGGCAGTAGCGCCCCTGCCTGAAAGGGCATATGCTATATGGCAGGTCAGGGCCTAGACGGCAGCACTCGGCACCCGCTACACGGCTAGCTTGGAGCAAGAGTTATTCCTCCTGAACAGGAGGTGCAGTACCTTGCATCCAGTTCTTGCGGAAAGCAGGCCTTCAGCCTGAGATCCTGTGAACAATTGAGGGAGAAAAACCCCTCTGGTGTAATCGCATCATGGCAGCTGTACACCCTGTCAGCTTTTTCTCTCTACTAGGCTGGCTCAAATCATCCTCCTATAAATTATCTTAGAGAACAGCACACTCTGTCAGCTCCCACTGCATTGGTTGACAACATCCTTCTACAGGAATCCTTTGAAGTCTCCAGCCCCCAGATAAGAAGTGTTGCGCAAGGCACTTGTTGCACGCAGCTCACCTCCTTGCTTCAGTGATCTAATGGGGGTAGACCCCCTTTTTTATATACGACCCTCTACTACTGCACACGGCACAGCCCCCTACTATGCATGGCCCACCTCTCTGACTTGGTGACCTAATGGAGTGGCCCCCTTGCTTACTACTCATGTGATTATGTATGCCTTATCATTAAGCCTATAGACGACCTCACTCATAACCCTCTCCCCTGTCTTGTACCTCATAGACGCTTCTGGAAATTCGGAGCCTCACCTGTCTCTGCTCATAGGTGGCATGGCCCCCCAAGCCCTGTGTCCTGTCTCTTTGTTTCTTGGCTCCTACAACTCAACACAGCAATAGGGGACACCCCACAACCCTGTAGGGCTGTGGCCCTCAGTTTTAGGATTATTTAAGCCCTCTTAGAGGAACCAAACCGTGACTACAAAGATCACGGAAATATACTTACTGAGATGTATAGAATAAATACATTTACATACTTGTTGCCTGGCAAGTAAGAATTGGAAATCCCCAGCAGTTGAACTTAAGTGAACTGAGATAGACTCCTGTGTGGTAATGCCGTTACTAAATTTGCCCCTCTTCAATCTGTAGACTACTAACTTTCCAAAAACATACATCACATTTAGTGAACAATGCCTACAGTCAACCCTCCACCCTTTCGTTTAGCTATGTCACATTATCATATGTTCCATTAATTACGAAACAGGAAAACAATGATAGGAATTTTGCATGGTACACCAGCCTGTGTACCATGTAGTTGCCTTCAGAAGCAAATGTGGGATATGAAAACTGTCATCTTCTTCAATCACATTCTGCATGCAGTAGGAAAGTCTTATCAAGGCCAAGCAGGTTGGCTCACGCCTGTAAACCCAGCACTTAAGGAAGCTGAGGTGGGCAGATCACTTGAGCTCTGGAGTTCCAGACCAGCCTGGGCAACGTGGTGAAACGCCATCCTTACAAAAAACACAAAAATTGGCCTGGCATGGTGACGTGCGCCTGTAGTCCCAGCTACTTGGGAGGCTGAGGTGGGAAGACTGCTTGAGCCCAGGAGGTCGAGGCTGCAGTGAGCCAAAATTGTGCCACTGCACTGTAGCCTGAGCAACAAAGCGAGACCCTGTCTCCAAAAAAAAGTTATATCCAATTTTTGCCATTTCAATATCCCTGATATACTACTTCCTTATCTGCCACCAATAGCATCTATTTCAGTAACGCTATATTTATGTCTCAGCATCAGTTAAGTTGTACTAAATGATAAACTTATTCCTTCTAGATAAAGGTTGTGCCAGCTTCGCCTTCAGTTTTTCTTAAGACATTTAGCTGTTCCTTATTGTTGCTACACTGCTGTCATCCAGGTGAAAGGTCAGACTACCAAGGTATCTTGTGAAAAGAAAAAAACATAAAATTAACCAACCCTCAACCATGCTATCTCAATTACTCATATATAAAATCAAAAGTCGGACAGGCACGGTAGCTCACACCTACAATCCCAGCACTTTGGGAGGCCAAGTTGGGTAGATCACAAAGTCAGGAGTTCAAGACCAGCCTGGCCAAGATGGTGAAACCCCTCGCTACTAAAAATGCAAAAATTAGCTGGGCATGGTGGCAGGTGCCTGTAATCCCAGCTACTAGGGAGGCTGAGGCAGAGAATTACTTGAACCCAGGTGGTGGAGGTTGCAGTGACCCGAGATTGCGCAACTGCACTCCAGGCTGGTAACAGAGCGAGACTCCATCTCAAAAAATAAATAAATAAAAATAAAATCAAAAGTCATCTTGATCGAAGAAAGTTTGCATTACCATGAATATTACCATGTTTCTGCTCTAAGATTTCTCCAACAAATAGCTTCTATCACTGACCTGTACTTGGCCAACTTGAAGCCAATCTTTTCATAGTCAAGCCCATGGCCTTGCACAATTCCCATTTCGTGCCTTCATTCTTAATTCAAGTCACCATCTTCCTAATTTAAAATCTAGATATGCCTTGTGCACATCATACTCTTGCTGCAATTCTGACTATCCTGCCATGTGGGAAGAGATGGCCAGGGCCCAACCTGTGTTACTTAAGAGTTAAATGATTACATGCTTGCTTTGCTTTTTTTTTTTTTTTTTTTTTTTTTTTGAGACGGAGTTTCGCTCTCGTTACCCAGGCTGGAGTGCAATGGCGCGATCTCGGCTCACCGCAACCTCCGCCTCCTGGGTTCAGGCAATTCTCCTGCCTCGGCCTCCTGAGTAGCTGGGATTACAGGCACGTGCCACCATGCCCAGTTAATTTTTTTTGTATTTTTAGTAGAGACGGGGTTTCACCATGTTGACCAGGATGGTCTCGATCTCTTGACCTCGTGATCCACCCGCCTCAGCCTCCCAAAGTGCTGGGATTACAGGCGTGAGCCACCGCGCCCGGCTGCTTTGCTTTTTATACACTGAGATTTGTGCCACAGATCATATCTAAACTATGGTGCAGTAAAATAAAAGCAGAGGTCAAGTGGTAACAGGAGGCCTGTGGTAAAGACCATCTGAGAGTGCCCAACAGCTGTGGAACACTGCAGTGTGGTTGCAGAGCAGTGAAAAAACTGCTTTCGTCCCACAACTCTTCCTAACATAGAGTTTGTGTAACAATCTCGTAAAGGGAGCTTTACTGGGAAGTAATGCAACCTCTGCTCCTAAGATTTGGGAGGGTCTTCGCAGATGGGTGCTGGTAAGGCTAGAAAGCCTCGCAGGGCAGACACCAGAATGCCACAGGCTCTGCCATGTTCTCAGAATATGGAGCAATTCTGACTGCTCTGTGTCCACAATGCTCAAGAGATAAAAGTCCCTTAATGCACTGTGTGTGGTCAGACCTTTTGGTGCCTTATCTGCTATACTTCTGTTGCCAAAACACCTGGTTAGACAATGGGTGGTAAATATCAGTGTCCTTAGTTAGCACTCCTTAGGAGAACCATGTGTGCTATTGAATGCTGCAGATACATGCTCTTCCTCCAGCTGTCTTCCTCCTCAACCCTCTTCCCCATAGTCTGCAATATTAACAAGATAATACACCTAATAAAAGTGCTTGGAGCCCAGAGCTCAGGGCCAACCTGCACCCACCAGAGTGCGCTGGACCCCTGGACCTTTGCTGTAAAATTCTATTCTTGTGTGTTTCTTTCTTTTTTTCTTTTTTTTTTTTTTTTTTGAGACGGAGTTTCGCTCTTGTTACCCAGGCTGGAGTGCAATGGCGCGATCTAGGCTCACCGCAACCTCCGCCTCCTGGGTTCAAGCAATTCTCCTGCCTCAGCCTCCCGAGCTGGGATTACAGGCAGATGCCACCACGCCCAGCTAATTTTTGTATTTTTAGTAGAGACGGGGTTTCACCATGTTGACCAGGATAGTCTCGATCTCTTGACCTCGTGATCCACCCGCCTCGGCCTCCCAGAGTGCTGGGATTACAGGCTTGAGCCACCGCGCCCGGCCTCTCTGTATTCCTGAATTAACCACTTTATTGTTAATTTTTACAGTAATCTTCTGTGTAGTGAGGAACTAGATCTAATCTCATCCAAAGAGAGGTCTAGCATTTGTTCTTAGCTATTAAGAAATGATCTCTAGGCCCCTGGAATGTCCTGTCCCATAGGAGTGTCTTTGTTTGCCTGATGGCTTTGGCCACAGAACAGTGTTAACAGTAAGATTTACGGTAAGGGTTTTCGGCCATGACATATCAGTTCCAACCTTTGGAAAAACTGGACACTCTAGATACTGGCCCAACTTCTGGGAAAGCCTGAAGACAAAAGGTCAGCCAGGTAGTATGTGACTGAAACCCAATCAAAACTCTGGCCACCAAAGACTCAGGTAAGCTTCCCTAGTTGGCAATACTCTGTATTGTCACACACTGTGGCTGGGAAGAAATTTAATGTCCACAGTGACAGAAGGACCAGAAGTACTGCACTTGGACCCCCTCCTGGACTACAAGTGACCCAGCAATAATACTCCTAGGTGAAGGCTCAAGAAAAATGAAAACATGTTTCTGAAAAAATCGTACACAAATGTTCATAGCAGCGTGATTCATAAAAGCCAAAAAGTAGAAATAACCGAAATGTTCATCCAACAGATGGATAAATAAAAATATGGTATATCCATACCATGGAATATTATTCAACAATAAAAAGAATTGAAATACTGATACATGCTAAAGAATGGAAGAATTTCAAAAACATGCTAAATGAAAGAAGCCAGACCCAAAAGACCATATATTTTGATTCTATTTATATAAAATACCCAGAACAGGCAAATCTATAGAGATAGAAAGTAGATTAGTGATTGCCTAGGACTAAGGACTTGGAAGGAAATTTTTCTTTTAAGTAATTCAGTGAAATCCAAAATTCACTAAAGTGATGGTCACATAACTGTTCACATACTACAAAGCACTGAAAAATAAACTTTAAATTGGCAAATCGTATGGTATGTAAAATATCTAAGCTGTTAAAAAAAACCAATCTATAATGGGAAGCACACATTAGGGAAATGAATACAACGCTACTGTCTAAGATGAACTAAAGGAAAAGCAGAAATCAAATGTACAGAGGAAGCACTCTGAGGTAGACATAAGTTATGACCTGGTTTGGACTAGAACTGATGTAAGACGCAAAACAGTCCTTTCTAGGTAAACACTCAACAAAATTGTAGAGACTTTTAAGAGGAGAACTCCTTAGGTAGAGGACATTCGGTACAACACCAGCACAGACAGGACAGATGTATGGTACTGAACGAGAATATAACCTTAAGATGGGAAGGGTTTTTGGTGGAGGGAAAACGATTCCTATTCTGAATGTAGTCCCTGCTTCTGTGTCCTCAGACACCCACACAGCCTTCTCTTACTGACTATAACATGACTTATGCATCTTGCTGGTTCTCACGTACCTGGACAGATTCGACTGTGCCTTTCATCTTCTAGTGTCCATGGTTCTTCGCCTCGTTCCAACTTGGAGAGTGCATCTGGTTTGCTGACTTGAAAACCTGTTTATGAGAAAGGATAGAAGACTTAGACACGCTGGATTAGGCTGGGATATGTAACATGAGAGACTGTTACATTTAGGGAACAGATAGTTTTCACATCTGCAAAGTAGAGGCTTTTCTCTCAGGAAAGGGCAGATTACAGTTAGACCTTAATATCTGAAAATTTCACATCCAGGGATTCAACCAACGATGGACTGAAAAAATTTTTTTTTTTTTTTTTTTTTTTTTCTGAGACGGAGTTTCGCTCTTGTTACCCAGGCTGGAGTGCAATGGCGCGATCTCGGCTCACCGCAACCTCCGCCTCCTGGGCTCAGGCAATTCTCCTGCCTCAGCCTCCTGAGTAGCTGGGATTACAGGCACGCACCACCATGCCCAGCTAATTTTTTGTATGTTTAGTAGAGACGGGGTTTCACCATGTTGACCAGGTTGGTCTTGATCTCTCGACCTTGTGATCCACCCGCCTCAGCCTCCCAAAGTGCTGGGATTACAGGCTTGAGCCACCGCGCCCGGCCTGAAAATATTTTTTAAAACAACAATAAAAAATAACAATACAGTAACAAAAAATACAAAGTGCAGTGGCTCTGGCCTATAATCCCAGCACTATAGGAGGCTGACATGAAACCAACACTTGAAGCCAGGAGTTGGAGACCTGCCGGGGCAACACAGACTCCATCTCTACCAAAAAAAAAAAAAAAAAAAAAATTGGCCAAGCATGGTGGTTTGCACCTGTAGGCATAGCTCCTCAAAAGGCTGAGGAAGGCCGGGCGCGGTGGCTCAAGCCTGTAATCCCAGCACTTTGGGAGGCCGAGGCGGGTGGATCACGAGGTCGAGAGATCGAGACCATCCTGGTCAACATGGTGAAACCCCGTCTCTACTACAAATACAAAAAATTAGCTGGGCATGGTGGCACGTGCCTGTAATCCCAGCTACTCAGGAGGCTGAGGCAGGAGAATTGCCTGAACCCAGGAGGCGGAGGTTGCGGTGAGCCGAGATCGCGCCATTGCACTCCAGCCTGGGTAACAAGAGCGAAACTCCGTCTCAAAAAAAAAAAAAAAAAAAAAAAAAAAAAAAAGGCTGAGGAAGGAGGATCGCTTGAATCCAATTCAAGGCTGCAGCAAGCCAATGAAGCCACCACTACATTCCATTCCGGGTGACAGAGCAAGACCCTGTCTCTAAAGAAAAATATAAAAAACAAAACATAGAGTATAACAACTATACATGGCATTTACATTGTATTAAGTATCAAGCGTAACCTAGAGATGATTTAAAGAATTCAGGAGGAGGTGTGTGTAGGTTATATGCAAATACAATGCCATTTATATGAGACTTGAGCATCTGTGGATTTCAAATCTTTGGAATGTTGTGAAACCAATCCCTCTTGGACAATGAGGGATACATCCTTTTATCAGAAACCAGAGGATGCACTAAAAATCTGCTATTCAGAGCACTGCAGTGACTTCTAAGGGTAAGCAGCTGAGAAAGCAAAGGCCACAGACTGGGCACCTTCCAGGTGACCCAGGGCAGCTGTCCTTACCCATTGATACCAGGTTGCTGTAGATCTCCAACATCACATCCCGGTACAAGTCCTTCTGACAAGGGTCCAGGAGCTGCCACTCCTCCCAGGTGAACTCCACAGTAACATCCTCCAGCGTCAGTGATTCCTGTAAAAAAACAGAGCCTTGATTAATACACAGAGAAGAGAACAGACTTGGTAAAATCTGCAAATTCTTAATGCTGCTGATCTTACCATATTCTGAATTATTTCACATGAGAAATAAATCTGGGCGAAAAAAACCCTTAGGTTTCTGCCTAATTAATACTCAAAAATAAGTTTTTCCTCTTTGAAGTCCTAACCAGAAGGCAACAGAAGCAAATATGAAATATATTCATGGAAGCAGTAGAAGCAAATATGAAATATATTCATGTTCAAAGCCATAATGGAAAAAAATAGACAAATTTTATGAAAAAAATTAAATTTCTACATTGAAAAATAGATCACAAACGAAGCTGAAAGAAAAATGACAGGCTAAAAAACACTTGGAGTAAACAGAAGATCAATATGTAGCAGATATAAATAACTCATTAACCAGTAAGAAAAAAGTTTTTTTAACGTAAAAGTTACAAAGTCAGGCATTTCACAAGAGAAAAAAATCCACTTGGCCAAGACATACACAAAAAGGGCAACCTCACCTGCCATGAGGAAAACGCAAAATAAGACGAAAGAATAGTGGACCATTGAAAACTGTGTAATTTGATGATGTCATATATATATATTTTTTTGAGATGGAGTTTCGTTCTTGTTACCCAGGCTGGAGTGCAATGGCGCGATCTCGGCTCACTGCAACCTCCGTCTCCTGGGTTCAAGCAATTCTCCTGCCTCAGCCTCCTGAGTAGCTGGGATTACAGGCATGTGCCACCATGCCCAGCTAATTTTTTGTATTTTTAGTAGAGACGGGGTTTCACCATTGTGACCAGGATGGTCTCGATCTCTCGACCTCATGATCCACCCACCTCAGCCTCCCAAAGTGCTGGGATTACAGGCTTGAGCCACCGTGCCTGGCTGATAATGTCATATTTTTAAGTATTGGCAAAGATTTAAAGGCACAAAGGACTCCATGTATCAGTCTCTATGTGGCAGGCACTCACTTAAATACTTTACATAGTTTAACAATATTTTTATGTATGACTTTAGACAAATGGAATTTTATGTAGTTAATATTCTTCAACTAATTACAGTGATTATTCCTTTATATTCTAAAACTATGCCATCTAAGGTAGGAGTGTCCAATCTTTTGGCTTCCCTGGGCCACACTGGAAAAAGAAATGTCTTGAGCCACGCATAAAATACACTAATGATAGCTGAAAAAAAAACCACCAAAAAATTCTCATAATATTTTAAGAAAATTTACAAATTTGTGTTCGGCTGCATTCAAAGTCGTCCTGGGCTGCATGCAGCCCACAGACCAGACCACAGGTTGTACATGCTTGATCTAAGGTGACCAACAGGTGGAATGTGATTCCACTGAAGCAAAAGAAGCCATAATAAATGTGTTTATATATACAGACACATACATAAAAGACACAGATGTATGTATTAGAAGACATACATATATATCCATACAGAGATGCACACAGTTTGGTAACAGCAAGTATGTGCTACCAAACATTTGTTGAAGCAGTATAAGGGGATTAGGAAGTAAGTTCTGAAGAAGGAATTTACTTTTTTAAACAGTATGTACTTCATCATTAGAATTTACTTCCCTTTGGGGCTGGGCGCAGGGGCTCACACCTGTAATCCCAGCACTTTGGGAGGCCTAGGTGGGTGGATCACCTGAGGTCAGGTGTTCGAGACCAGCCTGGTGAACATGGCGAAACCCCATCTCTACTAAAAATACAAAAATTAGTCAGGCATGGTGGCACACACAGGTAATCCCAGCTACTCAGGAAGCTGAGATAGGAGAATGGCTTGAACTCTGGAAGCGGGGGTTGCAGTGAGCTGAGATCACACCACTGCACTCCAGCCTGAGCGACAGAGCGAGACTCTATCTAAAAAAAAAAAAAAAAAAAAAAACACACGCACCAACAAAAAAAACCACAATTTTTTCCCTTTGGAATCCATGAGTAATTTACATAATTACAAAAAATAAAAGCGATAAAAGTATGGAAGAATTGGAGATGAGAATGCAGAAGGATTCTGTATATTCTGAGATGAGGTGAAATCATCAAACACGGCATCCAACAACTCAAGACCTTATCAGACAACTCCCTAATGCCAAATCTGTAGTTACATGCCAGTTCAGCCACCTGTTCAGGACAAATGGAAGTTAAGCACGCCTTCCATTTTCCTAGGCCACTTAGATTTTACTCCTAAATAAGCTCACACAGACACACAAGACTGAGTCCTTTGAGTGGTCTTGCTTTTGTCCCCTGAAAAAACTGTGTCAGTGCACTGAGTTCGCCCGGACTATTTCCATAGGAGTACCTGAGGAACCCTGTAATAAACAGCAGTAAGAAATCTTCTGCCTTTATTAGAATGCTAGTTCAAAACACTGTTCACCACATCACCTCTGAGAAGGATAGCAAATTTTTCTTGAGATCTAACTGCCATGAAATAATGATCTACTGAGGAAGCTCTGCTTTCTCCTCAGTTACTGTATATTATATAACTTAGCATGACTCTCTTATACTGGCTGTCAGAGACATCAGATGCAAGCTGACAGCTAACGTAATGGAAAAGATCTAGCCAGGCATTATGTTCCAACATCGGTCATTTTGTAGGAATCATATAAACACTATATTCCTGATCTTTGTCATGATGTTGGTGTTAGATTTAAAGTTTATTTCTCTCTGGATTCTGAAATGATTTCTTACAGGTCTCTACAAATCCACTATGGAATAAAGGTGAGAATAAAATAGAGAAAAGTCACCTGGGCATTGAGCATTTTCTTCTGTTGTGGGAAGTGGCCAGCACCGGGATACTCTGCCTTTGTCTCCTCTGGATCTGCCTTAAATTTTTAGTTAGAAACTCCGGTCACTACCAGTGAGGGTATTCACAGAAATCGTATCTAGGTCCTGGATTCTTCCTCTGTCTTCCTTCATTTCTTCTCTCTTCCCAGGGTAGCCAGAACCTGTGGACTGGAGGGCAAAACAACTTTCAGGTGTACATTCACCTTAACATGTGGCCCTGAGTATCTGTCTCTTGATTTGGTTCTCTCAAACCAATGAAATGCAAGACCCTCAATGTAGGTTGAATGCCTTTCTTCTGTGAAGTGTGGAAGTAACATGAAGGTAAAAGGGAAGGTCACAAAGGATAATCCACACAGCCTCATGCCTAAGTAGTAGGTAATTCTTGTATCAGTTTTTTAAATAAGGCCATATGGATGGTGAAAACTGTACATTTTTTCCTTTTACAATGTTACCTTCACACCTCTTTAAAAGCCTTTATATAAATTTAAAAGTGTTTACATACAGCCAGGCACAGTGGCTCATGCCTGTAATCCTAGCACTTTGGGAGGCCAAGGCAGGCAGATCTCCTGAGATCAGGAGTTCGAGACCAGCCTGGTCAACATGGTGAAATCCCGTCTCTACTAAAAATACAAAAAATTAGCTGGGTGTGGTGAAGGGTACCTATAATCCCAGCTACTCGGGAGGCTGAGGCAGAATAATGGCTTGAACCCAGGAGGTGGAGGTTGCAGTGAGCCAAGATCACGCCATTACATTCTAGCCCGGGCAATAAGACAAGACTTTATATTAAAAAAAAAAAAAAAAAAAAAAAAAAAGTGTTTATATACACACTTCAATATGAAGAGCAAGAAACACACTGAAAAAAAAAGAGGGATACAGAGAGAAGGAATATGGGGTATAAATACAAATTTATAAAATAATTCAAAAATATTAACACTGGAAAAATAGCTGCCTTTATATACTAACATAAATCCTGAAAGGAAACATCGATAAAAAATATGCAGTATGTTTGCAAGAGGAAGGATAAAAATTGGCTCTTATTAATTAGTGCAGCAGTAATTTTAAAAAATAGACTCTTAAATAGAAAGCTTATTCATCTCCTCTTTCCTGTCTCCCAAAAAACTTTCATTTTCTGCAGGTTCAAGAGTATGGGTTGTTGTGGGAAGACTTAAGGTTAGAAAACTTATGGTGGAGGAGGGTCTTGGACCTGAAACTTTTAGGAAATGTTAACGTTCATCACGTCTGTTGCAGCAGCCAAAGTCTGAGACACACACACACACACACACACACACACACACACACACACCAGCCAGGACTCCTTAGGAAATGCTAATGTTCAACTCCGTTGCAGCAGCCAAAGTTGGAGACACACACACAAACACACACACTCAGCCAGGACTCCTTAGGAAATGTTAACGTTGATCAAGTCTGTTCCAGCAGCCAAAGTCTGAGCCACACACACACACACACACACACACACACACACCAGCCCGGACTCCTGCGAAGACTTCAGCTTTCACTTGTCTCTACGCAAAAGACTCCGCCAGATTATTAATAGGAAAACCCGGAGTCGATACACTCGTACTCCGGCTTCCCTTAATGATTCCTCGATCACTGAGCTTCAGATGAACCCAGAATGGGAAACAGAAGTCACATTCATTGATTGACAAAAGCCACCCCATCAGTTCTCAATCACTGAGCCCCACAAAGGAGTGATTTGCAAATACCCCAATCCCTGACCTCAGGACTATCGGTCGTGGATCTACTCAGGCCTTTAATCACTGACTACCCAGAGCCTCCGTAAGGGACCCCCAAAGATACCCCATCACAGACGCCTACCAGGGTCTCCTAGCGCCCCTCCAAAGACACCTGCCCCCCCCAAGCCCCAACCCCCAACCCCGCGCTACCTCCACGGTCTAGCGCCACCATCAACGCAGACAGCCTCAGAATGCTCCCTCCCACAGCGTTTCCACGGCCTGACCCACATACTGACCTGACTGTCCTTGGAATCGCCGCGACCTCTTAAAGGCTGAACTTCCCTAAACTTCTCTCCACTTCTGAGCCCCTAGCCCAGCTCCCTCCCGCGTAAACCTCCTGAGAGGGTCCACCGCGTTTCCCGGGAAAGCGGAATGCCGACTTCCGGTTTTTCCTCCGGAGGAGACTCGGCGGCGCAGCCTTCGCTTCGCCGCTCTGGGGGCCGCCATCTTTGAGTACGTGACGTACAGAAGGCACCGCCTCCGCGAGTCGCGGTGGCCAGAGGGCCTCTGAAACTGTCCGATTTCCAGACACCTCAGCCCTGGCGGAAAATGAAGCGATTATTAGAGGCTTGAGTTCACACAGGCAGAAATGGCGTGGGGATAAAGTCCCCTGAACGGGCAGGAAACAGAATAAGTTGGTCTTCTCATTGAAGGGGACAGGGAACGGCGCCAACTTCTCAAAGGCCGGAGCCCATTACGCGAAGGAGCGGCATCCGTTCTCAGCGGTCATGACGACTGTGACGTCTCGGCTCCGTGGAAAATTAAAGTCACCTCTGGCACCTCAATCACTGTTCTAAATGCCAATAGTTTTAGAGGCCGTATAAAAAATGAAGCAAGTGGGACTAAAAAAAAAGAACGATGCGTCACAGGTAACCGCGCCGTTAAGCGAGAGCACCGTGGGCGCGGCCATCTTAGGGGAAGTTCGGTGTCCGTACAGCAGAACTAACGCTTTCTGGGAAGTTTGCGGTGGAACTGGCCCATGGAAACGTCTTCAGAAGAACAAGCAGCTCTGGGAAAGTGAGGTGGTATCGGGGATGCAGCAATCACAAAATGAGCTGGAAAAGTCGACCTCGTGACCGTCTTTCCAGCCTCATCCCAATCAGGCCTTTTACCCTGCTGCGATTACGAAACACGCACTTTGGGCAGCCGGCGAGCTGCCCTGTCATTGTAGAGTTGTAGAATCATACCGTATGCACTCTTTTTATCATACTGTATGTACTCCAGCCTGAGCGACAGGGAGGTTGCATTATACAAATGTCAGTTTACAGGGATGGTTTGAGAATCTTGTTTGTATGCACTTAAAACCAGCTACAAAACGTGAGGCAACAAGTGACAACCGAAAAGAATACAGATCTATGTGGGGCACAGGATTTTTAGGGTAGTGAAAATTCTCCTTATGTTACTGTGATGGTGGGTACATGCCACTATATAATGCTTGTCTAAATCCACACAATGTACATGTGTGAACTAAATATGAACTATGGATGTTGGGTGATAATGTAACTCCCACTTTGGTGGGGAATGTTGATAACGGAGAAGGAGCTATACAGAAAATCTCTGTACTACTAAATTTTGCTGGGAACCTAAAATTGCTCTAAAAAAATATATTTTAGAAACAATTGAATTAGAAAATAGAATTAGAAATAAAAAATAATCAAAATTGAAAACTGAATTAGAAAACACTTCAGAATGTATTTGTGGTGATGTTCTTTAGAAACACGTAACTGTTTCCAGGAATTGGCGATGGGAACAAAGGTTTTCAGAAATATTCTGAGCTCACCAAGCATGCACTGTCGTTGTGAATACTGGTGAGTTGATAAAATTGCAGTTTCTTTTTTGCAAAGCTGCTATTTCATAATCACAAACTCACACCACAGGAACCGGCTGGCTCCCCCTCCACCAACACACTGGTACAGTCATCCCGCCTTATCTACAGTTTCACTTTCCATGGTTTCAATTACACACGGCAGCTGTGGTCCAAAACATTAAATGGTATATTCCCATAATAAATAATTCGTTTTAAATTGTGCACTCTTCTTATAAATGTGATAAAATCTCATTGTTCCACCCAGGACATAAATCATCCCTTTATATCGTGCATACACACTAAATATGCTACCCGTCTGATAGTCAATTAGCAGTCATCTCAGCCGATTAACAGTATTGCAGTGCTTGTATTCAAGTAACTAATTTTAATTAATGGTCCCAAAGCACAAAAGTAGTGATGCTTGCAACTTGGATGTGACACAGAAGGTGTAAGCTACGAACAATAGCACGCAACGGTAGCAGCAATCACAAAATCAGCTTGTGACCGTCTTTCCAGCCTCATCCCAATCAGGCCTTTTATCCTGCTGCAATTACTAAACACGCACTCTGGGCACTTAGGAGGCTACTTAGGAGGCTGAGGTAGGAGGATTTATTGAGGCCAGGAGTTTGAGCCCAGCTTGGGTAACATGGCAAAACCCCATCTTTAATGTAAATTTAAAAAACAGTTAAGGCCGGGTGCGGTGGCTCAAGCCTGTAATCCCAGCACTTTGGGAGGCTGAGGCGGGTAGATCACGAGGTCGAGAGATCGAGCCCATCCTGGTCAACATGGTGAAACCCCGTCTCTACTAAAAATACAAAAAACTAGCTGGGCGTGGTGGCGCGTGCCTGTAATCCCAGCTACTCAGGAGGCTGAGGCAGGAGAATTGCCTGAACCCAGGAGGCGGAGGTTGCGGTGAGCCGAGATAGCGCCATTGCACTCCAGCCTGGGTAACAAGAGCGAAACTCCGTCTCAAAAAAAACAAAACAAAACAAAACAAAAAAAAACACTTTACTGAATCTGTATATGTATGCTTCAGTACTATAGGGTTTCAGGCATTCACCAGGGGAGTCTTGGAAGGTATCCCATGGGTAAGGGGAACTACTGTATTTGCAAAAATCTGTTGTTGATTCTACCGTAAAAAAAAAAACTGTTACACATTATTTCAACCATGAAAGCATAATGGTGCAGTGTCTGTTAGTTCCTTACTAAGGTAGAACGAAACTGTGTTGGTAAAAGGAACATGACTGAGTTATGAACAAAAATGATAGTATTTTATTAATTAAAACAGAAGACTTCTGATATTCTGAATATAAGAGCAGTAAAATATAAAGTTAAATGTGAATCCCACTTATGAACATGCTATTCCAGTTCTTTTGATTAAACTCTCCTGATAACTGCTCTCTTCTATTTCCAAGAACAAGATTACATTCTAATCCTTGACATATAACAGCTATCATTCAACAGAGACGACCACCATTATCCTGCATTATTTCTCTCATGCAATCGTCTCTAGCAACCTATCACTCACCTTCCATGAAAATCCTGAATCTGAATCTATCAATGTCCTTCCTGCTGTTTCTTGGTCAGTTATCAGGCAACTGTTTCCC